TTGGAACCCTGGAAGCTGCGGTTGGGATGAAACTCCGTCCTTGCCATTGAACAGTTCAAGGACTCCGGCAGGGCATCGGCGGCCTCTAAAGCACGCCGGAAACAGCTGCTGAGGCTTGCGGGCTCGCATCCTAAAGCCGATGCAAAACACCGGGCCGACTTCACGGCTCATCCGGCAATCTTCTGACTCCTTCAGCCCACGCAACATAAACCCTTCCGGGATGAGGGGCTCCATGGGCCCAATCTCACCCGGAAAGATTGGCCACTCATGCTGTTCGCCTATGTATGTATGTATGTATGTAGGTAGGTAGGTAGGTAGGTATGTATGCATGCATGCATGCATGTATGTATGTATGTATGGATGGATGGATGGATGGATGGATGGATGGGTGGATGGATGGACCCACGTCTGGATGGATGGATGGATGGATGGATGGATGGATGTGTGTTTATGTGTAAGTGTGTATGTGTGTATGTGTGTATGTATGCATTTGTATGTGTATGTCTGTGCTATCTGCCCGTATGTACCTATGTATGAATGTTTATCTGAATGTATGTGTATCTACGAATCTATGCATGGGTATCGGTATGTATGTTTAGAGATGCCAAGTGTATGTGAATGTATATGACTGTATATGTAAGTAAGTAAATGTATACGTGTGTACATGTATGATGTATGTTAGTTGTTATCAATAAAACAACGGGGAGACCAACAACGCCCATCCATGTTCTCCACAGCAACGCCGATGGTTGGTTCTGCCTGCACGCCATTTATTGTTTCAACTGCCAATGGATGTTCTAGTCGTCCTGTGTTTTTCCAAGGTTGCATCCTATACAACATTGCGACTGACCAAGCGATACCAACATTCGATGACGTGATGGAAATCAACAAAAATATGACTTGTGACCCCTGTGTTTCGTCTACTGTACAGACCGGAGCCCCCGCTCGAACGTTGTCGTAGCATTTCGAAATTAATACTGCCTTTGCGCACTGCCTGTGATTCAAACATCGGCAGGAAACCGGTTTGTGAATTGAAACAGGTTACATGTACCGTGAGCGCATTCTTAGTAGTACCGTGTCTTGAAAAACTGTGGGCCGTCGTCGGGCGCTGGTTTGCACGGAGGTTCAGGCCATTGATCGACATGGGAACCGCGGTTTGCAATCGTGTGTCGCACATTCGCTGCGTTAAGGTTTTGACGTCGAACCCTTCCACGTTGAGGTTCGCGAGTAAGGCGTTTCTTACGTAGTGGTTCTTACGTAGTGGTTGACGAGGCATTGTGTGTTTGGCACGACTCACCGGTCTGCTCGAAGCTTTCAATCCCTGGCCGAGTTGGACACCGACGATGGCCGCGCAAGTCACAATAGTCGTACTGTAGAGGGACATAGAGGTACATAGGCACATTGATAACTAGACTTGGCGCGGTGTTTTATATTGCCCTCCTGCCCCCCCTTCATATCAGCAAGTTCACTTCCGACGTGGACAAAAATGCAAATACAACTGATCAAACCACATGCACTGCATCACAAACAATCCTCAGGCTGTCAATTTTTTCACCAGTCCGATGCTGTTGCAAAACAATCACTCTGAACGGCACCCTGGATTCGGGCGCATTGGCGGCAGCTACAGCAGTCAAATTCGGAGTGTTCGATTCATCTTTGGTTTGTGTTCTGGACAAACATCGTGTGATCAAAGTCCCCTGATTCGTCCACCAAGGACTCAGCCGTTATATAATGGCAACTGAAGCTTTTGTTTGAAGTCGCCTGGTCCAGCCACCTACGTCACCCAGTTTCACACATCATCCCAACCAGGAAAAAAACATAGAGCTAGGGCCACTGGTTCTTGTTACCATATATGTATAGCTCATAGTGCAGTTTGATAAGACAGGCCCCAGGAAGTGAAAGATCGCTGTTGCCAAAACGATAGGTTTCACGTAACTTCCTGGGGTCCAACTCTGCACTGGCTCGGTCTTTGGATGCACCGATGCATGTCTTGAGTCTTGAACACCTGTGTGCTATCGGTCTATCTGTCTGTCTGTCTGTCTGTCTGTCTGTCGGTCTATCTATCTATCTATCTATCCATCCATCCATCTATCTATCTAAGCTAATCTCCATCGATCTATCTATCTATCTATCTAAGCTAATCTCCATCGATCTCTATCGATCTGTCTATCTCCGTCTTTCTATCTCATTCTATCTCTTTCTATTTCTATCTCTATCTATGTCTATCTTATGACACAAAATTTCCGCAGGGGTTGTCCAAGATATCTTAGCAAGGTTTCTCCGTAACATGTCTGCAAGAGGCCTCCATGCGAGGGCCCTACACAAGATCCCTGTGCAGCCTATGCACTTTATTCGATGCCTCCAAAGGAGACCCCACCCAAGATCCCCCAGGGAATCGCTGGATACACCCCTCGGTGCAAGCCCTCCGTAGGATTCTGTTTCTCATGGTTTCTAAGCTTCAAAGATAGAAACAATTGCGCCAGCCAGCCGCGCCTCCAAAACCGCGCGTTGCTCCTCCACCGTCAGGGCCAGAAAGGCAGTGACATCTGCCCGCTGCTGCCGCGGCACTTTTGGCCGCTGCCCGCGCATGACGGCTGTCAGCGCATGGCTCTGGAGTTTGCTGAGGTCAGGAGCCTTTGGGGCCGCTGCTTGGCCATCTCCAGGAGCGTTCTGTAGCAGGCCCTGCGCAAAATCAGGCGTGACGCAAATCATCGCTTGTCCTGCCTTTGCTCGCGGCATGGTTGGAAGAGGTGGAAAAGGGACAAGCGCTCAGGCTTGCAGCTGAAGGGAAAAGGGCTGCAGAGCGCTTCAATGCAAGCATGTCCTCTTGTAAAGCTGGGCAGTTCACTGTTTTAATCGTTGGTGTGTTGTTCTAATGTCACTTAATAACTTCAAAACTGCAATCGCAAATTCACGGAGCCACCCTCAATCCTCCTGCTCCTCAGGTTCGGCCTTCTTGGGCACAGGCGGGATCAAATATAATCCCGCTAGTGCCAGGACGTCAAGCCTGAGCTGTTTCATTATCATTTATTTTGCACAAACATTACGCCCCCATAAACCCCAAACAGTGATTCCATATCATATATCCATTGAACTGTTGATCCATGTCTAGTGAGAATAACCTGAATCACAAACAATATTTTCTCATAAACCATGTTGGAATTTGAGACAACAAGAAGACACAAAGGGAATAGAGAACAGAGACGAACAGGAAACAGGAATGACTTCATGACGACGCTAAGCAGAGATAGAATTGGAGGTCAAATGACCTCGGAAACAGATCAAGTAGGAGACGGATGATTGGAGACACTTGGGAGAAAGATAAATTGGGAGACACATGGCGCGAGACAAATGACGAGAAACAAATGAAAGCAAACAAAAAATATACGCAGAGCCAGAAACCACTAGACAGCATGAAGACAAATGAAGTGGTAAATCACATTTGTGTTTCCGAACAACAATCGTTCGAGAAAGCTGGGAGACAAGTGGATGACAAGGGAGACAAAAATGAACCACATCATCCTGGAGACTGCTGGGAGACAACATCTGGGAAACCACATTTGGACACAAGCGGGCCTAGAGATTGGAACAAAAATGGAAGAAGGCGGAAGACAAAGTGGAAAACAATATGGAAACAAATCTATGGGACAAGCTGGAGGCGAAGCGCAATGCAAGACATACTGGAAAACGCAGCGGGGTGCAAAGTTGAAGATGCAGTCGGAGACATGCTGGGAGACAAAGTGGGGCACAATGTCGGGGACAAAGTGGGAGACACAGAGGAGAACAGGGTGGAAAACTAAGTGAGAGACAAGGTGGAAGACAAAGGGGGAGACACGCTGGGAGACACAGTGGGGGACAAAGTTCCAAGCTTCCCGGAACCCGGCGCACATATGCGGAGGCAAGGAGAAGCGGTGATGCCCCCCAGCTTCTGGAAATTGAAACCCAACGGCTTTCTGCCGTTGGAAGTAAAAGGGGGCAGGTGAAGAGCCGGACAAGGCACACAAGGAGACATATAAAGGCTAGGGAAACAAATAAAGAGACATTTGGAGGACCATATCTCGAAGGCAACCAGGAAACAAATGAAAAGCAATCGGGAAATGACTTTGGGCCGCGCCTGGAAGGCAAGCGTACGGCAATTCGGAAGCAATGGGGGCACCACATCTGCAAGACAAACGCAGCCGCAAGTCGTGACAGGGGGGAGACGGCATCTGAAGGGCAGCTGGGCAGCGGAAGGCATTTGGAGGCGCTTGGAAAACCAATTCTGCGAAGCTAGGAATTGTGAAAAGCAATTCCGGGAGACAATTGGGAGACCACATCTACATGACAGAAGGAGAGACAACTATGTGACAAGTGGAAGACTAGGAGAGACATCAAGGAAGCAAGTAACAAGATGCAGCCCGCGAACCCGAATGCAGTCACGTAGAACACTTTTGTGAAACAAGTTATTTGAACAGTCTATATGTTTCCCCGGTTACCGTACCAGTGCGCTGTAGACTGTGGAATGCAGAAGAGGGTGGAGTGCAAAGCGTGGAGTAGGGAGAGTAGAGTGTAAAGTGTGGAGTGCGGAGCGTAAAGTGTGGAGTGTAGAGTGAGGAGTGTACAGTGTGAAGTGTGAAGCGCATTCCCTTCTGAGATGTCCTGAAAGGATTTTATCCCCACTCCTGGTTGGTTACATGTCCTTGGCGTCCTTGGTTGCATACCTGCCTGCCGACCACACATATTCCACATTTCCTTGCCACAACTCCCATATTTTTCCTCATCAAATCGTCATGTTCCGCATGTTTTTCTGTTGAAATTCGCTGTTTTTTCTCATCAACTTACCATCTTCGGCCCTTTTTCCCCAATGTTGATACTAAAACAGATTAGAACCAACCAAAAACATTCCGTGCTGTGTTTCTCCAACCAAAATATTTAGTTGTCTTTCTTTCTGAGTACTGTATTCTACCTTGAAAGGATGACAATTCCCCGTGGTGAAAATGCCGTCGTCGTGCAACAAGCGCCTCACGGGCTGCGCGCTGGTGCACTTCAAAGAGTTCCTCCTTCGGCAGGTAGGGCGCGCCACCACCTGCGAAGTCACCAGTTTCAAAGGTGGGAAAATCACCTTTTCACCAACAACAAATTGCGATTTTATGTGATATCATGGGGATATCATGGGGATAGCAACCTCCAAAATGGTGATTAAAGGTAATTCAAGCGGCAAAAATGGTGATTAAGTGATGATTCCCCTCTGGTATCCTCTGGTAAACTACAGTAACAACTTGCTATGGAAAATCATCTTCTTTAATTGGTAAATCATCTATAAATGGGCCATGTTTAATAGCTATGGTAAACTACCAAATGGTATTTTGCAATGAGAAATCCCGCATATTTATCGAAAAATGCCAATCATCTTTACTGGAAATATGCCAAGAAATCCATTCCATCTTCATGGAAAATCATGGGAAACCTCCACGTTTTTGAATGAGAAATCAATGAAGATGATCTAATTATCAAAGATGTACACATATGAGCAGTATGTACTGTCAAGTGTGTGTGTGTATGAAAATTGGGTACACCCAAAAATTCTATGGTTTATCATACTGAAATTGCCATAAGGTATACCCTGTTTCAGACACCCTCGAAAATCATATTGTTGGTCATGTATCTCATCATCTCCCCTTATTAATTAGTCAAACCGTCATTTTTTCTGGGTAAATGATAACTGGTTGGTGGTTGAGCCCTACCCCCCAGAAAAATATGAGTTCGTCAGTTGGGATGATAACATTCCCAACTGAATGGAAAGTCATAAAATTCCATGGTTCCGAACCACCAACCAGGATTAAATCCCACTATATAGATGTATCTCCCATAAACCCCCAAATTTCTGGGTAAATGATAATAATTCACAAACCTGAATTAAAGGTTATTTTGGATTCGTTACCCATACTACAGCCCCTCCTGCCAGGATGCCGCTGTTGGATAAATCCCAAGAAATCCAGCATGTTTCATGGTTAAATTCTCCCTGTTCTTACCCTCTGGTAAACTAACACTTTGCTATCGAAAATGGCCCAGTCGTGATTTTCCATAGTTACGTTAGTTTACCAGAGGGTATATGTTCTTATTGTCCTTCCCTGTCCAGTGACTACCGCCTGCCAGGATGGCCGGCTGCTTCTCCCGGAAGTCTTTCAAGGTCAGCTCGTAGGCCCAGTGCAGCAAGGACTGTCGCACCACAGGCGACACCTCCCGGCCCGTGGGAACTCGGGGTTGAATGATATCTGGGCAAATTATCATATTTCACTCACCTGAATTTCCAGGCCATGTGAGGATGATTTCCCTTACTCACCATGATTTCCAGGGCTCGGGAGGTCACAGGGTTCGGTCGTGATGAAATTTACCCAGATGATCCATTGGATCTGGGGGATTTTTGTTGGGGAAAAATTTTGGGGGATCCCCGGAGGTGAATGGTTCAATGCTAGGACTTGCAACACAGAAACTGCTTGGTGGTGCAACGTGCCCATCTTGAAAAATGATGGACTGAGTTCGTCAGTTGGGATGATGACATTCCATTCCCATTCCCAACTTTTTATGGAAAGTCATACAAACACAAATGTTTGCAGTCTCTAAGATGGCGAAAGATCCTCCGGATTTTTTTAGATGAATTGGCAATGGGAACTAGGATTTCCAAACTACAACTAGAGTAATTTTCCATCACGCCATGCTTGATTGCCAGATTGTACAGTTTTGGGCTTGGGATTAGGTCTATGACCAAACCCTCCACAATTAGATCCATGAAAACCATAAATCAATGGATTGGTTTTCACGGGAAAATCTTAACCGGACACCCATAGGTTTTTACCATCAAATTGGTTGGGGGTTCGGGTTAAAATGTTCCCATCATCCAGTTCTATGAATAAACACCAAAAAAAAAACATCACCAATCACTGCGATCCACAGGCCTTGGGATCATTGTAGCTGCGGTTGGCCTTGACGCCTCAGTTGGCAAATCGAACCCCGGAAGGCCGCCCCGGTGGGTCTGATGGAGGCTGCCACTGGTAATTTCACAGTTCCCTATGGAAAACCACCACTTTTTTCTATGAAAAAGGAGGTAAAACCATCGAACTGCATGGGCCATGGCTTCATCCATGCTTTCCATGATCCCCATGTTCATCATGTTTCATGGTGAAATCCGAAACTTTGTTGGTCACCCATTTTTGCCACTTGAATCCCAACATATCCCAACTATTGCCCTGGAATGCTCCATGTGTGGAATATTTACCAACATGTGCCCTAAAAATCACCCAAGTGAGCATATGGGTTGTGCAGGATGGTGCCCCCCAGTTTTAAGTTGGTTTATAAACCATGAAATAATCCCCATGAATACTATAGTTATATATATCTACCATAAACCATAGACTTCAGCCACTTATAAACCAACTGAACGCTATCTTGGGGGCCCCAAATGAGCAGATGGGTTGTGGCTTAAAATCCCAATTTTCCCAAACTCTGAAGGGTGGATGGTTTAGGATTCCAGACACTTGGCAATCAGATTCGCCTTCCAACGGCCTGGCGGCAGCAACGGAAAGGAAAATCCATCAGTGGCTGGCCGGGAAAATCCCAAACATTGGAAAATCATAGGAAATTCGTAGGGAAAATACTGGGAAAGTCATAGGAAAATCGTAGGAAAATCATATTGAACATATTTGGAAAAAATATTGGAACATACCCATAGGATCCATGTATGCTATATATGGTAACATGTACCATCAATATACCCCAAATGTTAGCATATTTACCATACATGGATCCTATGGGTATTGGATAAATGGAGGTGTTGTCCGAAAATCCATCGTTAAGTGGGGAATTTTTCAGCCATGATTCCCAGAGGGAAAGCGTCAAACCTTTGGGGGTTGGGAAGATCTACAAAGTGGTGCCCCAGTTCGTTAGCTAAGGTGGTTTGTAACTCCAATTTCACTATGCTTTACGGTAGATACAACGAACATTAACGAACTAGTTCATGGATGTTCATGGGCTTTATAAACCAACGTTCACATAACTGGGCACCATCCAGAAGTGATAGCCACTGGGATGCCCTGGATGAACCTGGATAGCATCCATGACACGTGAAGATTTGACTGTAACGCCTAAAGTTGCTGCAGGTGTTGTAGTTCTTACAATCTCGCCCAGTCGGGATGCAAAAAAAACCGTGGGTTTTCAATCATCAACTAAGTTGGGGAAAAACATCACCTGCACCAACATCTAGTGATGATGTTGAAAGTCCCCAAAAAAGAAGCATTTGGAATAGCTCAAAAATCTGGCATCCCAAAATCGAGGTCTGCGAATCATACCCAGAATTGGGAGTTTTTTGCTGCAAGTAGAACTGATTCCAGCATACCATGGTTACCATGGCCAAGGAATCTATATAACATATTGGGCCATAACAGATTGGGTCATCAAACGTGAACATTTACCAAACATGAAAAACAAATCAATGATTAATCACCATATTTTTGGTTGTGAAAATCCCCATTGTCCCTCATCTTTGATTTTGATGGTAAAAAAATATCGTTGGTCAAATCGGATTATCCCATAAGTGTTCATGATTATCCCACTCAAAAATAGATATTTCATAGTATCCCAAAAAAATCGGATTGGGTTTACCACATCATTTTTCCGGAAAAACCCATGGAAATTCCAATCACCACCATGTTCACCCCGCCTGAAGGTCCGCAAACCTTCAACCATCGCTTGATCTGCCGCGCATCGTCGTCCGTTCTCCGGCCCTCGAAGAAACGACAGTACCATTGAAACCAACCATACCTCGGTCTGCCATGGTCAAGATGGGATGCATGGTGAATCAGAAAAAGTAACATGGAAAAACATCTGGGATTGAAATGCAACCAGCAACAATAGGATGTATCATGGGTGTTGGATATATATATATATAGTTGGATGATATCCCGAAGTAGTGTGAAGATTATAGTTCGGACGATGTTCATCTCCAGTGAGACAGATCGTAGTCCTAGTTGGGTTGGAAAAGTTTGGAATTTTGGAAAAGATATGTGACAGCACGAGGAAAGAAAGGAAGTTCAGCCAGGAAAAAATGCAGGAAAGTCATGGGTTTTACCAATATACCCAAAAAAATGTGTGGGTTTCTGCTGGTTTGCAGTTTGAGCCGCAGCAGAAATTAGGATTTGACATGATGTGCATAATTAATCAACAATTTTTTTTGGTGCAATTAACCAGCACAAGGTGGAGCTCAAATGACTTGAGGAACAAATGACGGTTCTTAAGCAACCAAAATGGGTGGTTTTGCTCGGTGAAAAATGGAAGTTTGAGTAACCAAAACGGGATTTCAAGTTGCGTCACCAACCAAAGAAAAGGAACATAAATGGGGAAGGCAAACAAATTGGGGAGCTCAGCGGCAAAAATGAAGAGTTCGCAAACAGCAAAGTTGCGATATTATCTGAAACGAATGGTTTGAATCTGACCAGGTGATACAACCCATGACAACGGGGGACAAGTGACAAGTGATAGACCTCATTGACAAGTCCCCTGATTCCTGGGAACCATGGCTTAAACTACTTGGAGGATCATCCCACTGAGTCTTTTTTCATAATGCTGACGGCAGCCTGGTGTAGTCAGGTCCTCGCCGAAACTACTGATTTCGAACAGTTGAACATGAAGGACTTTGAGTTGATGGTCATGTTGGAACATGTTGAAACACCATCTTCGCTCCGCCAAGCTTTGCCCATGAGAAAACTCACTATTTCAATGGCCATTTTAAATAGTTTTTTGTATGTTTACCAGAGGGTATACAACAATGGGATTTTCGCTGGGTAAAAAAAAAAACAAGGCACGGATCTTGCGGGTGCATCCATCCCGCATTTTCCCAGTCCTCCGGCTGGCTGGCGGGATTTGTTCGGCAACAGTTTAGTATATGAGTATATGTTGGAAACCCCAGAAGGGGTGTCCCTTTCACTTTCTATTTTGATGTCCATCTTTTTTGTCCATCCTTCTGGGGATCTTAGATACCCTTCAAATCTAAAGAACTGGGTCCGAACGTATATAAAGACCTCACAAGTTGGTGGGTGAGAAGGTTCCCAAATGGTTTATTCGTGTTTTTCATCCGGATTCAACTAATCCCCACACGAAGTCATGTAATTTTTTGTATCTGCGAAAAAAAAAATCTCCCCTCAGAACCCCTCAAGACCCCTCCGGAGGATGTCCTGGGATATCCGCAAAAGGTTGTTCCTGTAATATGTACGGCCCTAGAGATCCCTACAGTAGATCAACATAGACATTGATTTTTGTTGCCCTAGAATAATAATCTAGATTGCAGATTCGGGCGAACGAAAAATGAGCTGTGGACCAACGCAACAGTGTGGATCAGACTCGTATCATATCATTTCCCTTTCTCTTGAGTTGGTGAAGGTCCCGATTCTTTGTGGTAATTCCCATGAAGGTCCCGGTTTACCCAACCCAACCATCAACCAACTTGAAATTTCTCATCGCAGCCCGCTTTGTATTTACAAAAACATTGCCAAACACCATCGACTTTAGATGATTCATAATGATGCACCAACTTGAAAAATAATTCATTTGGGAATGATTCCCCTCACTAACCATCATTCCCGGGACTTGTAGTGATGTTTTTATGGTTTACCCAGAATTTCACCATGAAATTGGCTGGGCATATTGTATTTCCAAAGCATGCGAGTCTGTTCGGTGTCTCAACACAATGTTGTATAATTAGTTGTTTTTGGCTATCGGCTGACTCGCCGCCCCAGAAAGGCTGTCTTTTTTTTGCGATTGTATACCTCGATGTTGTGCAAGGTATGCTGGTGGGGTGGGGTGGGGTGGGGTGGGGCGCATGTTGTTAACATACGCGAACAAAGGTTTGATGTTATGCTGATGGAACATGTTGCTACGCTTGCGCATGTTAACAGAGGTCTCGCACAAACGACAAGAATTTGTCAAAAAGAACGAGTGAAGTTCAACAACCGCTTTGTTGTCGCAGGCACCCAGCAACTTGACTCCACAGTGAAAGTTTTGAAAAAATGGAAGCTGATCGCTTTTCCAAAAAAACAAATCCCATGGGGGAACCAACGAAAATCGTTGGAAATGGGCGGGAAGCTTCCAATGGAGGCATAATGCTTCCATCACTAGTTGAATAACAATTTCCAAACTGCTTTTCCCAGCGTGACTAAAAAACGATCGTTTCGCCTGCACAAAATACAATTTTCTCAATTTTGAATTGGCCCACACAGTACAAAATGATACTTTCAAAATTTCAAAATGCCTTCCCAAGATGAAAAATGTAAAAAAACACAGGGTTTTAAGCATTTCACCTTGCGAATGATGAAAAAAACTTGTCGACAGTTCCAGGGCGGCGAGTCAGCCGATTCCCTTGTTTTTCCTACGAATTGTTAATAATTACCCCATATCGAACGCATTAAATAGGAGACGTATAAATGGATAAACCCAATAATCAATCACCACCAGACCATCCCAATAAATACCAGAAATGGGTGGCATGAACCATCTCTAATCAGAGGTGTATAGTATAAATCCAGCATTATCACCTCATTGAAGTGCCACTTTTTCGGAATTCTAAGCCCAGCAAAGCAGTTTAAACAGGGGTTGGTAACTGTCCCATTTTGGGTATATTGGACATCACCTTATAGTAGCCATTATAGACCATATACCTAATGGTTGGGCGATGTTCAATGGGGACATTTAATGACCCATGTTTAAACAATCCTTACACATCCAACTTGTCTCCACCGCGGTCCTCCAGAGTGTTGCCGCATTTCACACCATATTTGTTCACCGATGCCTTAGACGTGTGTGTCAGACGGTGGATGTGACTTGGGTCCTTTTTGAGGACATGGTTCCAACAGGGCTTGGGAAATGTCCTAACAAATTCACATCACCCTTAAATAATTATTGGGGATATCATCTTCAACAGATATTTGAAAATGATGTGAAACAAATCCCCAAAATAGGACATTCACCAAGCCCTGGAACAGTAAACTTTACTTTTTCTCCCCATTACTTCACCGGGTTGCCAAGTGACATCGTAGTCTTCCCAGTCGCGAGCCAACTGACCGAAAGTTGAAGAGGGCTACCCGAAGGTCCATTTCCCAACCGTAGGGGCTTCACTTTTCCCGGGTTTTTTTGGTTTTTCTCGCGGTTGAGAATTCCGAAAAAAAAAAATCAAGATGAATTGGGTGTGACCTCAAGGGAACCCATTGGGTGATATTCTGAGGTTTGCTGGTTATGACCTGCTGTGAGCCAACTGGTGAAACTTTACAAACTCCCGTAGCTAACCTTCGATTCCTGGAGAAATTTATGGTACCAAAAACCGCACTCTCCGATACTCATTCGTCAGTTGACCCAGAAACGTGGCAACTGAATGATCCATGTTGAAAAGTACCATCAAATCAGGTATATGTTCATCCGGAATGCTATGATTGATCATGAAAAACCAAAAAAACTAAAGAATCACCAAGGATATGATATATGGGGTTGGGTCAAGTTACCTACATATTATTACCATCATTGGGGCGACAAAAAACATCCGTAAACATCCTAATTAGCAAGCTATATCTTGTAGGGTACCTACATACCCAGTAGATGATCTAATGTGGGTGAAACAATGCCATAAACCATCCCCCAGTCATCACCATTTTTATAGGTGGTATGGTTACCATTCCCAGTCATGGGTGGTAAAAATGACATTGTGTTTCCCACATGAATATCCATTACAACCTATGATTATTAACCTATTATTGTTGGTGAAACCTCTATTCTTATTGGTAAATATCCGATTCACATCCCATTTATAAATGGGTAGGAAATTGTTTGGGGATTTTTTTTTTTTAGTTTGGGGAATTTTTTCTGGATTTCCGGTTCTCACCATTTTCCATGCTATTTGCAGCATTTTGGAGCTGGAAACTGCCATTTCCACGGTATGTGCAACGGTTTTGAGTTCGAACCTCTCATTTTCCATTGTATTTTCCACGGTATTTGCAACAGTTTGCAGCATGTTCTGTCAATTTTCCATGCTCTTTGCAGCATTTTTGAGCTGGAATCTGCATTTCCACCGTATGTGCAACATTTTACAGCTACATTCCTCACAGTACTTGCAGGATTTTGGAGCTGAAGGCTGACATTCCAACAGTTGTTTGTTGTTACTGTTACTGTTGTTGATGTTGGTGTTGGTGTTGTTGTTGTTGGTGTTGTTGTTGTTGTTACCGTTAGTGTTGTTAGTGTTGTTAGTGTTGTTAGTGTTGTTAGTGTTGCTAGTGTTAGTGTTGTTAGTGTTGTTAGTGTTGTTATATATATACAATATATATATATATACATATACAATATATATATATACAATATATATATATATACAATATATATATACAATATATATATATATACAATATATATATACAATATATATATATATACAATATATATATATATACATATATATATATATATATACAATATATATATATACAATATATATATATATATATATACAATATATATATACAATATATATATATACAATGTATATATATATATTCTAACCAAAGTAGTGTATTGAAATGTGTGCAAGCTTGAATTTAAATAAAAAAAAACGGGAGGGGGGGATTGGGGGGGATTTGGGGGGAGGGCGCAGCGCCTCCCCCCCAAAGCAGATTGGAAACACCTATTTTCACATGCAAGGTGCTAGGTTGAATGTGATACTCAAGGTGTATATACTACACGACATGCACCTTGGAAACATGTGGAATGCAGGTTAAGGCACAACGATGCACAATAGTTTCATTTGATGTTATCATCGAGTTGGTTTAAGATCTATTTATATAAGGTTTGGTTCAGGGTTGGCTTGGGGTTTGAATATCATCCGCATGATAATGCAAACCTTTTAGGTAGATATATATATACAGATATATATATATATAGATATAGGTATATAGATAAATAGATATATATATATATTTAAAGATATATAGATATAAAGATATATGTATATATACATATAGAAATATAGATAGATATATACAGATATATAGATATATGGTGGTATAAATATATATATAGAGAGAGATATAGATATATAGAGAGATATATATAGATATAGATATATAGTATATATATAGAGAGAGATATAGATATATAGATATATAGATAGATATGTATAGATAGATAGATAGATAGATAGATAGATAATTAGATAGATAGATAGATAGATAGGTAGATAGATATATAGATAGATAGATATATATGTATATAGATATCTAGATATAGATATATATAGAGATATAAAGAAATATATAGATATATATAGAGATATATAGAGATATATATAGATATATAGATAGATATATATATATATATAGATATATATATAGATATATAGATATATAGATAATTATATAGATATATGATATATATAGGTATATAGATATATAGATACAGCCATAGATGTAGATATAGATACAGATATAGATAGACATAGATAGATATAGATACGTAGATATAGATAGATATAGATAGATATAGATGGATATAGATGGATATAGATGGATATAGATGGATAGAAGATGTTGCTCCACACCTCATGGAAAAGCAAAAAAGCAAAGAAAAGCAAAAAAGCAAAAAAGCAAAAAAGCAAAAAAGCAAAAAAGCAAAAAAGCAAAAAAGCAAAGAAAAGCAAGAAAAGCAAAAAAGCAAAGAAAAGCAGAAAAGCGAGAAAAGCAAAAAAGCAAAGAAAAGCAGGGAAAGCAAAAAAGCAAAAAAGCAAAGAAAAGCAAGAAAAGCAAAAAAGCAAAAAAGCAAAAAAGCAAAGAAAAGCAAGAAAAGCAAAAAAGCAAAAAAGCAAAGAAAAGCAAGGGAAGCAAAAAAGCAAAAAAGCAAAGAAAAGCAAAAAAAACAAAAAAAGGAATAGAAGCAAAGAAGCAGAGAAGCACTGCAGGAGGCAATAGAGTAAGCAGGAAGAAATCAAAAAAAAATCCCTAAACTAAAAAAAAAAAAACCTAAATAAATGGCCCTCCTTTATAAATCAGTTTCCCATTTATAAAACCATTATAAACCATTATTTATAAATCATTTTCCCATTTATAGATCATTTTCCCATTTATATACCAATTTTTTCAACCATTATTTGTCCCACATGATAGCCACTGACATCTCCCGGAATCATCGGATAGTTTCATCATCCACCAGGCCTGGCGCTTGACGTCCAAGCCTCTCAACCAGCTCTTGGGCAAATCCTCCAGTGGTGTTGTTGTCGACCAAACAATGCGGGAAATTTGGAGGAAAACTATGGAGATTCATGAGGCATATATATATGTATGTATGTATGTATGTATGTATGTATGTATGTATGTATGTATGTATGTATGTATGTATGTATGTATGTATGGTTTATGAGGAATATATATATATAAGTGATTTAACTATGGTTTATGGTAGATACAACGAACTAGTTCATGGGGTGTATAAACCAACAAACGTAACTGGGGGGTACGGGGTACCATATATGGTTCAATCTTTGGGGGACATTAGGATCTAGCATGATCTAGTGGTGTTTCTCTTTTCGAGAACCATGGAATTTGTCATGATATGTGAAAAGTTCGAAAAAAATACATCAAAATGCAGGATAAAATGAGCAACATTAGGTGCTTGAATCTATGGGATAGTTGATAGTTGTTTTTCCCTTTTTTTAACTCTTAAAACCGGGTTTTAACCATGCTGAAACAAGCCTCTTGAGGTTCTAAAACCAGATAATTTAGGAACGACCAAAACAAATATGCATTTAACCGACAAAAATGGTGATCAACCATAAACAAACTGACTCATGAAAGAAAAACTGGGCCACATTGTACTGGACAGAAAGTAGAAAATCTGTTGTTGGTTAGTTCACAACTCCGATTAAACAAGGTGGTGCAACCCACTACAACTTTCATCTCAACGGTGGGAGGTTCAACCCATTTATTGGTTGTTTGATGGGGGTGACCCATGGTGACCCCTGATACGATTCTATGGATATCTATGGCATAAGCAAAAAATACCTCTTGCCAAAGCAATTAACATACTTTGCTATCCCTTGAAACAAAGGTTGCCATTCTTGATCCCACACTGAGGGACGACAGGTTGCTGCAGTGCTCGCAGATTTCAGTCATCCACAGATTTTGCTAACTGTGTACCTTTCAACCTGACCGTGCCCAAAAAGCAAGAGGATGGCAAATATCAAAATCCCAAGGTAGTCAGTTGTCACCGATAATTACCCATATTAAAAACCAAATTTCGTAGTTTATTCCAGGGGTCAATCACTGATCGCCCCGCCAGCCCGCCCCTTCGCTCTGCAACAGAAGTCCTTCCAGGCATCTTTGTAATTTTTGCCGGTGACTGAAGAGTAAATGTCCCTGAAGTAGGTACCACCTCAGAATCTTCACGGTCATGATGCGTGCCATGGTCATTTCCCACCTGAACTAACTGGAAAAGCCCCTACAATATATCTGGAGGCAGCAATCACTCAATTTCCTCTTGACCCATTTTCAGATGATATCCGTTACATCGTCATGTTGCAGCTTCTACCGATTTCTTAAACATAAAATCTACTTGTATATTTTATATCGTTCTGCAACCTGCAGGTTCAGTTCTAGTGAATTATATACCCTCTGGTAAATTAACATAGCAATGGAAAATCACCATTTTTAATGGGAAAACTCACTATAAATGGCCATTTTCAGTAGCCATGTTAGTTTACCAGAGGGTAAGTGGATACCCAGAGTTATCGGGGTTATATCATGTTATATCCCAACTTCTGAATGTGATCACCATTGCACCGGGCAAACACAGACCCCAACTGCCCCATGACAGCCACCATTCTGCCGAGAAACCGAAGGCCCCAGCGTGCAACACCTCCTTTGGGGTCAGGCTGGGCCGAAAACTCGCGATCAACGCGCTGAGCTCCTCATCAGCACCTGGGTTTTATGCACCAACAAATTCATGGCGGATGATGGGATTGAACCATCGACAAGTGGAAAATTGGGATAGAACAGATAGAACTAATAGAAAATTGGGATCACATTTGTTAAGAGGTGCATTATCTATAAATGGGCCATGTGCCATAGTTATCTGAAATTACCAGAGGGTACCACCGGTAGATTGGGGACCGGGATGAGGATATCAGGGTTTCGAATCAGCTCCCAACCACCTAATCTTCAACAAAAAAAACCGATGCAGGGAATCAAAAAAGAAACGAAACACACGGGCTGCCTATTTAAATGAACCAAACTACAATCATCAACTGATCAACTGATGCCGGCTACAACTGGGATCTGGTTGGCCTTTTTACCATGTCCAGGCGTTGAAAGCCTTAAACCTTGTGGATCACTGTTCGGTTTGCTGTTTACATCTGGTTACCACATTCTTTACATATGTCTCGGGTCAATCAATGATATCAATGATATCCTGGTTGGCGGTATACCTACCCCTCTGAAAAATGATGGAGTTCGTCAGTTGGGATGATTTGTCCATTCCCAACTGAATGGAAAGTCATAAAAGTCCATGGTTCCAGTCACCACCAACCAGATATGTATCTTTATGTCGTGTCGAACTTTGAAGCTGGAGAGTGGGCTCATGGGTTCCCATGGTCCCACCCTCCCAAGTTTGTTTCAGGGCTACCAGTCAAGTATCAAACATTCATCCTAACATATCCGAACTAAGTTATATAAACATTGAATAGTTGGATCCCAATATGGACCCATAAATGAATATCATACAATAAATATATAAACAGTCATACCTAATTTATCCTATCACATTGAATATCATTGGGATATATTGGGATATATTGGGACTTCATTTAGTTTCAATGTGATTGGTTAGGTCTCAATATATCCCAATGATGGATACCATTTTTACCGGTCAAATCCATATGGATGCTAAAATCACCAGGGTTATTAACAACTTACGAGCCGTGGGTCTCAGAATCGGTTCACTCATGGATCTCTACAGTGTAAACTGAGTCCTTGCTGATACGTCAACCTTTCGGCCAACATGTAACCAAGACTGATGAGCAATATTTCGCGGCATGCTGGCCACGGAAGCAACCCCCAATCATTGGTAAACTGATGCAAAATCCACATCGTTGATGCAGCAGTACAGACTATGTTCATTACTAGCCATCTATGGCCATTATAATTGCAGGAATCCGCTTAAACCTCATCAAAACATCATGTTCAAACCATTTATAGCCATTTATCATCATTTATCGCCATTATGAGTCCCTTTAAACCTCATCAAATCGTATGAAAACATCATTTTTCCATATTTTTCCCAAGGCAAAAGCAGCATGTCCCCAACTGCTCCCCAGCGATTCCCCCTGCCTTTGGCTGCACGAAAGCTCAGGCGGTGATCCCCGGCCGCCCTTTTGCCGCGGGCCGCACGAGCCATGGCGGGCCCAAACGATGGGTCTACGAGATTTCGCTGGGGAAAACGTTGGTGAAAGCACCGGAAAACACCCTGAAAAAAATCGGGGTTGAAGTGGCTTAACCCTAAAATTGGGAATTAACCTTTGGAAATAAAGCCTGGTCATAGGGAATCCACTATCTTTTATGGGCTTTTCATGGGACAATCATGTGGAGGATGTCTGTTGCCAGGTTTTTTTTTCGAGCATCAAAAACTTCACCAGAACTTCACCTGTTGTCATTCCGGCATCGAGTCCACCAAGCCAACATCTGGCCTTTGGACTGATGGAATGTCCACCAAAATCAGGAATCCCAAAATTCACCAGAATCATTCATCTTTGGTGTGTAGCAAAAATATGCATTAGTGCTTGATTGATCAACTCTATGACTGAACCTGTACAGCAGCTGAGGGCTGTTGGTGAAGTTCAGTGGATTGACATCCCATGCTGGTGAGGTTTCTCGTTCTTGGTAATCCTTTGTGCGGGTGAAATCCTGGTTTCGATGCCATGTTTTTTTACATTTCTCATTGTTTGTGGCTAATCCCTAGTTTTTGATATTTAAGTCTGTTCTTTGTCCCTTAAGTTCCCTTTTCTGATGGCTCAGCCCTTCGTGATGGTTAAATCAAGTTCAAATCCACTGTTTTTGATGCTCAAATACCCCTTTTGTGATCGCTTTCCCGCTAGGCCCTAGGTTTTCATGGTGAAGTAATGTTACCCTCCAGTAATTTAGCAGTTTTCTATGGAGAATCACCATGCCTTGTGAATGACTCATCTATAAATGGGCCATCCATATATATATATATATACATATGTATGTATATATATATATATGTATATATATATATATGTTATATATAAACGAATATATATATATATATACACCATTATATACCATAGCCAAGTAACAAGAGGGTAAACTATGGTAAATGACCATCGTGTGATTAAAGTCAACCGCAGATTGATGATATGTTGATTATGCCCCAGGCAGCAAAGTCCGTAATTTTCGTTAATTCATGTTAAGTCCCAATTTCCCTAAGTGAAACATCCATGTTTGTTAGGTAAATCCCACACGGTTTATATGGGAAATGCCCCATCGTTTTGCTGCAAAAACACATCCCGCCATCTCTACCCTGAACTCCTCCAAGGGCATTGACTTGTCCATGTCGAGCTCCTAGAGATGGTCACTTTCGCTGTTCGCCATTCGAACATCTGGATGAAGACTGGAGAAAAAGTGGAATGGGGATGGTGACTATGATTTTTTCTGAGATTTTAAGCATCAAAAAATGACATGTCTGTATGTTCATGGCTAGAAGAGGCTATGAAGATTAAAACCCCATGTCCACCCCAGGACGACTGCCAGCCGGTTCCAGGATGTCCACCCACAAAAAACTCCCATTCTGGGGTTGGCCTTTTCACGTAGAAAGAACGCATCACTGGTTGGTGGTGCAATAACCATCTTGAAAAATGATGGAGTTCGTCAATCAGAAGGATTATCCCATATATTATGGAAAATGAAATTCATGTTCCAAACCACCAACCAGATCATTTTTTTTCAGGTCAAAGTGAAGAACCCCGATGGACTGGATTTGTTTTTCAGATAGTTATTCAATGGTCAAACTGATAGTTGAATGGTCCGGGGGGGTGCAGTTCCAGTGAGCTAAGTGGATATACTTCACCACCCCCCTTCGGGCCACATATCCCAACTGATGGTGAACTCTCCACACTCCTATATGTAGTTCATCCCCACTATGATTACATTGAAATCCCCACTATGATTCTGATTTTTCATGGTACCATCCTCAATGTTGCTAATTATTAATACGTATTAATCAATAACCTCACTTCTGCACCCCCCCCCCGTAATGGTCGCTTGAGTATCACCCAACTAGTTCGATATATCGATATGACTGGTAAATAATATGACTGGTACAACCAGTTCGATATATCATATATATATATATTATATATATACATATCATAGTTTGCAAAGTAAAAAATCATAGATATGACTGGTTCAATTAAAAAAAAAAAAAACGAAGTGTTCCCAGCTGGTGCAGTTCCCACAGCCCCGTCCTCCTCATCAGGGAAGAAGAAGCCATTCACCAAGCCACGCTGATCAGCGGTTAGGTTCTGATAGCTACCTGTCGTTGGGGGATGATGGGACTATGGGACAATTGTGGGAGATTTTTCCATAGTCCTTGCGGAATAATGGTATTAATGGGTATTAATGCTACAATGTACCATAGAAATAGATGGTTTACCTATTAATAGCATGGTGATATTCTATAGCTATGTTAATTATAACATATCTGGTTGGTGGTATACCTACCCCTCTGAAAAATGATGGAGTGAAAGTCAGTTGGGATGATGAAATTCCCAAGATCTGGAAAAACAAAAAATGTTCCAAACCACCAACCAGTTATGGTTCTGGCATTGATAAAAGATGCCTTGCTGGCCTTGTGGTTCTGGGACTGCCACTCTTCAGTATCTGAAGGTTCGGGTTCCATCCTCCGAGCTGGGTCACATCACCAACCAGATATATAACCATCATATTCCCATTGTTGTTGGTTTATACCATCTTGAAAACCACTATTAACCATCACTATTAACCCATTGAACCGGGGGTTCAATACTGCTGGTTGTCCAGGAGGATTACCATCGCAAGCCAATCCAATTCTGTTCAGGTCTCAGGGCCAAGCAACTGGAAGTTCATGTTTTCTACTACAAGTGCCACAATGAGTTTTTAGACTGCAAATAGCAGAAACCTATACCATACTCACAGGTGTGCAGATCAAAATCAAGGCCTCAAATAGTTCGGATCCATACCCGATATTTTTGCGCATTTGCGGTCATTTGCGCATGTTTCGCCTTGAGATACTTGGGGTTACACATGACTATGGTAAACTAAGTGGAAATATATATTTCACCATAGTTAAATAGGGGATATTGAAAACATAATATATAATAATAATAACAATAGTAATAATAAATAATAATTAATGATAATAATATATAAAATAATATGTATATGTATATATATATCCATAAACATAGATAACCCCTATATAGTGTTATAGGGCTTGTATCCATCATTGTGACTAAGTGGATATACCACAAAACTCAACCGGAGCTGCCTCCAGTGGTGGCCTGACGATGGTGTTTGGGCAGCTGGAGGTGATATCCTCTGGTAAACTAACATAACTATGGAAAATCACCATTTTTAATGGGTAAATCAACTATTTCTATGGCCATGTTCAATAGCTATGTTTGTTTGCCAGAGGGTACCCAAAGATTGCCATTGAAATCGGAAACATGCAGGCATTTTAATAATGATTACCAGATGACTTTGCCATTGATGCGGGGTAGGCAACTGCCATTGATCATCTAGGCCTAGGTCGTTGATTTTATGAGTATTTTGCCATTGATAATCTCAGTACATTAAGGAACACATTTACAGACAAACTGTACCTTATGTCACCATATGTCCACCCTATTCCAATAGGTTAGTACGCTCTGGTAATCTAAAGATGCGGATGTACCCCATACTCAGGCTCGCAAACCAGCCATGGGAATGGGGAACAATACTCTCAAAGGGTAAATAAATCGAGTATGTATGGGGTGCATTCTATAGTAGCATGTGTAGCGGTGTAGGATTTGATGTTTGAAATAGCCAACATACTGTCAGAAGTGTATCCACCCCATGTGGTTAATAATGTTAATATTGCTTACGTATTCCATTTCAGTATGGGTTGCAATATAGCCAGAATATGGAGTGGCTATTTAGCTTCTATAATGCGGGGTGGATTGTATAGTCATGGGTCCTGATATCACAGAAAAAGTACCACCTTCATTGTAGATGGGGTATCACCCCCTCAGTTGATCGATCAGCGCTTACGTAGTACCAAACCAGTCCGATTACCCATCAGTTCTTGGTTCGATGGGTCCTTTTCGTTGGTTAAATCCGCAGATATCACCAGTTTGTGCTGCGGAAAAAGACCCGTGGCCCATAACCAAACCCCTCAACACGTCCATAATAGCGTTCCTTTCTTGTCCCAAGGGCATGATTCCCCCTGGCAATCATTTACAGTGAGGCCGCTGTGAGGTTACAATTTTTGCAGATAGAATTTGCCAAGGCGTTATCCAATACTTAGATTATTAGATTCAGTTGTAACCCCCAATAAAATGACACTAATCGATCGAATTTAAGTAAGATTCACGAGACCCGTTCTATACTTCATGGATTAGGACACTTGGATGACTGAAACTACCAGTTTCTTCAAAATCCATTAATCATACTGTTGATGATACCCTCTGGTAAACTAACATAACTATGGAAAATCACCATGTTTAATGGGAAATGTCACTATAAATGGACATTTTCAATAGCTATGTTAAATTACCAGAGGGTATATCCATATCCGATCTATCCCATTAGAGAATATCAAATATCCCCATGATTGCAACGATTTGTCTCATTGGAAATACCCGTGTGAAACATCCCCATTACATATCCCCGTCGGAAATACAGAAATACTCCGCTAAATATCTCCATGATTGTCATTCTACCCCATTAAATGTAATACTGTACAAACTGGATCAATCGTGTGGTTCAAGAATCATGAAGGGTACCATGATGGGAATCGATGCCGCAATGGATGAAAATATTACATATATTTATATACACATATCACATATGTATATATATATATATGCATATAACATTGTAGTCTCCAAACAAAAGATCAGAAAATAAAATCCCAATGACATAATAGTGATGATGATTCACCAAAAAATAGTGATGATGATGATGATGATGATGATTCCCAAACAAAATAGTGATGATTTGCCAAAATCGGATGAATCACCCCCAGCCATCGCTGGCTGACCAAAATAGCACCTGCTCCAGTGCCAACCGCGACTCGGCCGCCGTTGGTTTCTTGGCCGCCTGAGCCGTGGTGAAGATGGGGAGGTTTCACCAAACAAAACGGTTTAACATGGTGAAACCCCAAGAAACATGGGGATTTTTCTATCTGTATATATATATATGTATGTATGTATATATATACATGTATCCATGTATATATATATATATGTGTATCTATATATATATATATGTATATATATATACATACATACATATATATATGTGTGTGTGTGTTGATTTCTGATGACAGTGTCTGTTGCTTAAATAACTAGCTGAACTGCGGTTTTTGAATAAGGATCTATGTTAGATATTGTGGGATGCGTGAAATGAAACCAACAAACACAACTTCAAGGTCCTCCCAGTGGAAGAACTGACAGGAAATCACCAGGTTTCACACCCCGGGGATACAACCGAACATAGCAATCTGGAATATCCATGAATAAGAATATAGTCTACATATATATATATAATATGTATATCTATATATATATGTATGTATATCTATATATGTATGTATATCTATATGTATATATATACATATATACATAGATGTCTGTATATATATATACATACATGTCTGTATATATATACATACATACATGTGTATATATATATATATATTTATACATATATACATCTATGTGTATATATACACATATACATCTATGTATGTATATATATATGTATAAGTATAATATATATATATATGCATACATATACATATATATATATAATTGTATGTGTATATATACGTATCTATTTATAGACATAATGTGTATGTATACATATATATATACATATGTATTCATATACATATACATATATATATATGTACATATGCATATACATATACGTATACATATACATATACATATATATATATGTACATATGCATATACATATACATATAGATGTATGTATTATATTTACATATATAAAAACATATAAAATCAAAACAGGGATTTCCAACAACCATGTTTGTTTACCAGAGGGGGGCAAAGGTACCAAACAATCCCTAAGACACGGTCATTCCACGGCTTCAGCCTCCATTTCGGCCGTTTCTGCTGCTTCACCTGGTCGCACAGGGATCGAAAAATGGAAAATTGATGTGTGTTTTTGGAGAGCCAATTAATAATCTATTAACATATATAATCTACATAACCATATATGAAATGACAAAAGAGCAGTTGTTGTCATTCCAGCTTTCCAACTCCAACCATGCATGAAGATCATTAAAGGTTGGCTACAGATGGGAAAAGTTGAGAATCTTGAGCCGCACCCAGCTTCCGCAAAAAGCCGGTAGCAGTGGATATATGTGGAGAGAGGTAGGCTAAAGTATCTGTTTGCAATGAACCATACCTTATCCGATTCCACCATTTTGGGCTCTGATCGTCGTTGATAGATGATGATGTTGCCAACTCATTTCGTTAGGAGTCTTGAAGCTCGTGCTCTTGGTACAATGGTTTTGTTTTGAAGGAGAATCAGAACCTCTTGGAGGGGTCCCCATGAATTGCACATGGGTACACACAAACGATGTATTTTGTAGCCTGGTAGCATTCAACATCATGTCAAGAAATTCTTGGATCCGCCAAATTGGCTATTCATTTTGAAATTGTGGCCAGCATTCAATTTTGGAATGGCTGACCTCATGCATAAACTTAGACCCTCCAAACGTCAATCCTCAGTGGGAGATCAAAGGAATTCTCCGAAAACTCTCTGAAAATGCCCTTCACAAAAATCTCCCAAAGAGTTATCCTCTTGTAATCAAACGTGGCTTGCTGGAAAATATTCCATTTCGTTCGATGATCTTCCCAATCTTCCCAGCTATAAACCTTCATTTCTAGTGTTTAGTTTTTCCCATAATGTCCTATTAGATTTTCCCATATATATATATATATATATACATATTCAATTGTTGCTAGTCCACAAAGACTTGATCATTTGCTGTTTTGTTCCATCGCAAAAACTCCAAGGATGATTAGGTTCTACCTGTCCAGATCCCACCTTTGGTGGCACCTTCCGCAGCACGTGCGACCTGCGCCAGATTTTCCGTGGTAAATCAGGGCAGTTGTGTTTTGGTAACGGCAAAAACGGAGGTTTATAGCTGGGAAGATTGGGACATTACCCTCTAAACTAACGTAACTATGGAAAATCACCATTTGTCATGGGTAAATCCACTATTTCAATGGCCATTTTCAATAGCTTTTTGTATGTTTACCAGAGGGTATATCCCATTAAAATCACCATTTTTGTTGGTTAAATCCCATTAAACCACCATTTTTCATGGTTAAACCACCATTCACCACCTAATGATCAACTAGGGATTTAACCATCACAGCAGGGTATATAGCTATTTTTGGGATATACCAGGAGAATTTCGTGGCAGTTTTTGGGGCGGGGCTGTACCATCAAAGACTGTGGCACTGTAACGTGTAACTTTGGAAGTTAAACCTGGAAGATGATGGAAAATGGGGATTTAACGTGGTTTGATCATGAATAAGTTGAATAAGGATTGAATTCGAACTGGTGATTTGGTGATTTAGTGATTTATCCCTGACACCCGCAAGGGGGTATACAACAAATAAGGCCAACCAGATGAATAGACATTTGAATTAGGATCCGGAATGGTACCCAACTAACAGCCCAGGGGTGGTGACTCCGGGTTTGACACTCTTGGGGAAACCAACCATGGTATTGCTAGTGGGGGCTACCCCTAGTATGGATGGTAGAACCAAATACGTATCTGTATATGTAGCTACCACTTTCCTGTTATACGGCTTATAGTCACGTAAAATTAGGATAAATTACGGATATGTGACCTATGTTCAGTATTACATATATGTTTGGGAAAACGAACCATGGTTGTAAGTTGGTAAGCGGATAGTAACTATGGTGAGTTTCCCCAGTTATGTATGTTATATATATCTGTATATATTTCCCCAGGAGTCCAAATACGACGTGTGATGCGCATGCACGTATGATCAATCTATCGATGTTCACCGACCCTCTGCAGCGTTTTGACCCTTACCGTCGTGCAGCAGGTAGCTACCGGAAAACACAATTTCGAGAAAACATGTCGATTGGTACAATGGATTGCAACCTGCGCTTTCTTCTATAAGCAAAAGGGGTCATCTAGAAGGGTTCCATCCTCTGTCTTTTTAAGTCCGTTTCCAGTTCATGTAGTAAATAGGCAAAAAGTTGTATCATCTTCAGTTGTATCCCCTAATTTGTCATTAGAAGAACGATGATGTTTCCCGTTAAAATCACCAAGTCTAGATGAGTTTTTCCTTCAAAAAAACCCATGAGTTGTGCTCCACTGGAGCTCCAAACCCCAGCCACCCCGGCCTTGGAACTTCTGGACGACAGTCGGCCGGCGAGGCCCACAGCAAAACCGCTCAGCACCTGCAGTGAGTGGCTGGGTTTCCATGGAATTCTTTGGACCACACAGGTGATTGTTTGATGATACGTTTTTTAAGCATGTATTACTGTATGCATATATATATATAACATATACGTGTATGTATATGTATGTGGTATGCCAATAAAATGCGAAAAAAAAAGTCTGGCTTGGGGGAGGTACAGGATATTTTTTTTAATATATGTATATATATATACATTTCATGGATCGTAACTTACGGTAAACCGTTAAACCTGGTTGGTATGTCATGGTGGTCATAATGGAGGCCTGACAATGGATAAGCGAAATTTATTTCTGACCTAAAGCCATTTTTGTGGTTGCTCCAATCCCCATGTTGGTTCCAAACATCATCAAGTTGATTTGTGGTTTAAATTCATTTTGGCTAGCTAAAATTGACTAAATCTCGATTGTGGTTGCATTTTGTTGCTAGGTCCTGATTTCTTGCCAATGAACTATCCATTCTTGGCACTCAAATCGCCAGTTTTATACGGCTCTCTTAACCTAATCCCAAAAAAATCATCGCTGACTCGGTGACTTTCACCAATTCTTGCTGCTTAAACCATGTTAAACCATGTTTTTGACCTCCATGTTTTTGCCTCAAACCATATCAATCCATATTTTGTCCATCAAAGTTTCCATGTTTCTACACCAAGGCGTTCCCCGACCTGCCATCTCGGCGCGCCGCTTGCGCCGCTTGCGCCGCTGCCGGAAGCGGCGCTCGGCCGAGGGACGCGAAGCAGCGGGCTGGGCGAACCTGGCGGAACAACGATGGGGATTTCAGGGGAATAAATATGATATACAGTGAGTATATATAATATATATATATGTATATTTATATTATGTATAGTTATATGTATATCTTATATGTATGTATATATGGCTTCCAACTGTAATAGACATATGATATAGGACATAGGATTTCTATGGATTTCTGGGAATAATTGTGGGAATTCATTGGTATTTAATTGTATAATTAATATGTATAATGGGATGTAGAACCAACAATAGTCATGGGATTAACTATTCTCCACAGTACGCCTGCTTTTGGTGATGAGTTTTGAAAATAGATAAGGGTTTGTCTGAAAATAGGGTATATTCCCAATTATAGCCATTTAATAGGGATAATGATCATTAACCATTGGGTTTAGGGGTACACTATTTTCAGACACACCCATAACTTTTTATTGGGAGATCAACAAATACTAGGGTTTTCCATGGCAGGAAATAACTAGAGTTGACCAGCAAGACATCGAGCATTCTTCCACTTAAAAAACGGTCGTTCGATGGGTGGATGAACTACTCCGAGGTCAACATGAGCTGGTCTGCCATATTTATCCATGATTCGGGTATCCCACAATTCCCTGTTTCTGGACAAACTTACCGGTAGAATTCCCTGTACGTCATTCCCTCTCATGGTTGGCTGGCTGGTGGTTGAAAAAAGCGTCTCAAAATATGTCATATCATCCCAGGTAGGAAGAAAAACTGCTGAAACCCAGCAATGGAACCTGGGCAATTTTCAGCAATGAGGTGCTCCCACTTCTCTCCGAGAGAACTCCCTGTCTCGGAATGTGCTGGTCGAGGTGGCTGCCAGCTGCTGCACCAAAGCTATGTGCAGCTGGCTCTTACATGGCCATTCTTAGATACCCATGGCATTTTGCTTATTTGGCTGAACATATATGTATAGATTTGCCCGTTTTGAGCAAAAGACTACTGCAGTAATCTAAAGGTACCCTTTCGATCGGCCCACGCCCAGCTTATTGGTGATTGGTCGCAATGGTCACTAGGCAAACCATTGAAACAAGCTTGTTGGTTTTATAGTTTTTCTTCATCCAATTATCCCTTATAGTAATCCCCAAAGAGATAGAAAACGAAAATCCAAGCGAAATAGTGGTAAATTATTATCAGCTATAATCTATATATTACTATCAGCATAATAGTTTCAACTGGATGCATGGATAAATCTACAGTAGCCCGTTGATAATAGTACGTAGCTCCAGAGCAGAAATATTCTATATTTGAGGATCGTCATGCCAATTATCGGGTGATAAAATACCCTCTGGTAAACTAACATAGCTATGGAAAATCACTAGTTTCATAGGTAAATCAACTATAATTGGGCCATTTCTATAGCTATGTTAAATTACCAGAGGGTAATCTGCATGGAGGGTACAACAAAAAAAAACGATCTGAAAAAAGGCCACTTGGAGGTTCCCCCAATCCGAACCATCATGCCAGTGACATACCGCAAAGTGAGGTCCTGATCAAATCCAGATTATCCCCGTTATCTTATCATTATGTAGATATATGATATCCATTGATATCCTCTTATCAATGTATACCTCCATAAAATCTTTGTGAGCTATAATTGATAATTAGTAATCAATCCCATCATTATACTATACAGGTGTATGGGATATCCTTTTATCCATATCTGGTTACGTGGTTTCAACCCCTCTGAAAAATATGAGTTCGTCAGTTGGGATCATTATTCCCAATGTATGCAAAAATAAAATTCATGTTCCAAAACCAACCAGATATAGATGTATGGGATATCCTTTTATCCATATCTGGTTACGTGGTTTCAACCCCTCTGAAAAATATGAGTTCGTCAGTTGGGCTCATGACATTCCCAATATATGGGAAAATAAAATTCATGTTCCAAACCAACCAGATATAGATGTATGGGATATCCTTTTATCCATATCTGGTTACGTGGTTTCAACCCCTCTGAAAAATATGAGTTCGTCAGTTGGGATCATTATTCCCAATATATGCAAAAATAAAATTCATGTTCCAAACCAACCAGATATATATATATAAGAAAATTCCAGAAAAGATAGTCTTTTCAGATTATGGTTCTTTCACATTCGGTGGGTTTACCGAAGGTAAAATATAGATTATATAATAATTAATTATAGACTGTCTTTTCTGGAATTTTATCATTGGAATCCTTGCGATCACACACTGTTCGGAGCACATCTTTTCTTTCGCTGGTGCCGCTGGGTTTGTATGCCCTAATCATCGAACCCATCCTCCACAGCTTTGACTCTGGAGAAGAACGCGGTTCCGGTGGGAGATAGCCACTTCCAGTAGTATCGACCCTTCTGTGTTTTCAACTGTACCTTCCGCCAACCGTTTTTCATTGGAAGATCCTGGATCACAGCTCCCCGGGTTTTTGCCGGTTCCGGTGCTGGTTTCACAGGGACCTCAGGATCCTCTTCTTTGGCTTCTTCCTCAGCATCTTCATGTTGACATGTCTTGGTCAGGTCAGGTTTCTTGGGGGACACCTCGGTTACCTCGGACGCTTCCACTTTGGGTGATGCAGCTGGTCGCTTCAACGGGGTTGATGGCGGCGCTGCTGGTCGCTTCAACGGGGTTGATGGCAGCGCTGCTGTCGCAGGTCGTTTCAGCGGAACTCTTGAAGCTGGGCGCTTTTGGCTAGCAGCACCTTAGTTGGGACCAAATTGACGGTAAGAAATCAAATTCCAAAAGCCATTGAAAACCAATGTTGGAGGGGACACTGGGGCTACGACTAAGACAAGGTTGAAGGCAATGATCTTGACATGGTGGTGGTGGTGGTGGTTGTGAAATTCTAAAGGTCAAAGGGTCAAACCAAAAACGATTGAAATGTTTTCTGAAACTGAGGGACTGGTGTTGGAGTCTGTTGCTGGCCTTCCTCTCCCCCTTCGTTGCGGCTGGTCCTTCTTGTCCTCCGTCTCAGTGTTGGGTGCTCTGGTACCGCCTGACGGCGGTGTTGCTGCCATCACCGACTGGGCGCTGTCTCTCGGGCTAGATCCAATCGCAGCACTAGTAGCGCTGACTGAAAGGGATCTTTGGAGAATCTCAGCTCTGCGTGTATCACCTCGTTCTTGGAAGCTGCGCAAAATCCGGTTGGCTATGTCAACGCCATCCCCCATGGCGTCAGTGCACCTACGAAATTCTGGGTCCAAATCCTGATGGAGATGGTTCAAACCATGTGTTTTTTTCAAAGTTCAAATGAAGCACAGAAACCTTGCTATGCTGAAAAACGTTGGTGGGCTCACAGGATGCCATTTCAATCACAGTTTTTGTTAGTTACCAGTTGGTAGTGAAGAGGTGCAAAAACGTGGTGCGCTGTGCAAGCATGCCCGGGGCCACGCACATGAATCCCAGCGATGAACATGTTTTTCCCGATGGGTTGCTGCGATGCATCCGCATCGTGTTCCTAAATGAGCAATGGTTCATGGCACGGTTTGCCTGGAACCGGATCCCCAAAATTAGAGATTCAAACATTGTTGGTCTCCCCTACAAAGTGCCGAGCACCACATAGACATCATCCAACAAAGCATTGACCGCTTTGAATTTCAAAAAGATTGTTGGACTTAGTGGTTCAGCATGCGCTAAAAGGGTTGGCATATCATCCAGGGCTAACTTGAGCTCTTTGAGCAGCAAATCCTTGCAGTCTGACCTCACGACAAACTGTTTGAGCTTCTCACTCATAGAGGCTGGCAAGGCTGGTACGCTCAGCTGAGTTTGGTTGTAGCCCGGCACGGATTCCCCCAACTCGAGCCAAGTGCTGTGCTGGAAGTCCTTCGAGTCCACATCACCATCCCCATCCATTTGGGTTTTGAAGGTCATGTTCATGAGGATGGTCAAAATTTGAATGACTTCATATACAACCTTGAGGTTCTGGGTGTTGTCAGCCCAGATGCGATTCAACTTCAAAAGGATCTCCCGGGTGTTCTCATGCTCAAAGTTAGACCGATGTGCTAGGGCAGGGATGCCAAAGACTATGACGAAGCCCTTCCACAAAGCCAGCACATCAGCGTACACGATTGCAGCGGCCAGCGGCGATGCGATCATTGGTGAACTGAGATCGACACTGAGATGGTATTACTGTAGTTGTTTTTCAACCCAAAATAGCTCACGACATAACATGATCAATAATCCAGCCGCAATCAAGGCATGAATGGCAATCCAACCAAATCCAATTGGCCAATCATCATGGCTGCCCCTGCAGAAAAAAACATGAGACATTATTTTCATCCTTTTTGATTTTGAAGCCATTTAGTAATCTACACCCCAAATCCAAAGCAACCAGTGATCAACGAAAGAGTTCTTGAAGATCCAGAGAATGCACGCAGAAACCCAGATTTGATTCTGGTCTTCCAATGCTTCCTGTGGTCTTCAGCCGTCTCCGTGCATGCCCGAGCTCCAAAAGACTGATACCAAATTCAGTCAAATGCACTTTATGGCAGGGACTGGAGAACGCTAAGCTACTGTCACCGTGTCTAAGTGCAACTCAGGATTATGGGACCACAATGATCAAAACAGAATCATTGGAATTGATATGATTGGTAGTTAAGTGTAGTTGGTATGTCATCGATGTTACAGGAACCTCGCATCATGCAAATGACCTTAATGGTTGGTATTCCCCTTAAAGGACTGAAAGTAACTCCTGATGTTGCACATTGTGCCAAAGCACTTACGGTGTTCAAAAGTATGTCATGGATCATTCCATAGCTACACCATCATCCAAAATTGATGCTCAAGGCGTAGGGCAACGCAACTGGCTGCGAGCCAGAAAACATAAAGTAAGTCACCCATAACTAATCGTTTAGTATTGGTTAACAGCAAAGCTTTGCTCGCAAACGTTGAGTTAAAAGATGTCAGTTCAGTTCGGGATAACCATCAAAAAACTGCTATTGATACATGGGTTGCAGCGCAGCCAGAGCTAAGCATCCTAAGTCAGCTTCAGAGGCTTGTCCTTTTGAAGTGTGATGCCGCGGGCGGTGATCATGTAGGGGCGCTGGATCTTGAAGTTTTGCCCAACCCGCTCGAACCTGTAGCGAAACACTGTCATGGCAACTTCCTGGGGTAGTTGAGGTCCCAAGCATTTGGAAAAGAAGTTCTTGGAGGTGATGCGTTCATCAGTTCGATCAGCTTGACCTCGGGGATCCCACAAGCACCAAAAGGTCATAGGGTTCTTGATGGTAATCTCAAAGCCATCTTCACCGGCCTCAACCGATGCCTTCCTCTTCACCTCCAGGAACGACAACCGGTGTGAGGTAATGTGTTTCTCCGTTTCCGCTCGGAGCAACAGCTTGTACAAAGACAGAGTCTGGTACCCCTGGGCCTCTTGAGCAAACGAAGTCTCATCCAGTTGGACCAAGCATTTGTCACCATCAGGGCATGCAAATGGCACACCAGGCTCAGTACAATCAGCAGCAGGCATCCACTGACCGGTACCAAACCCTCCAAGAACAGTGTGTTTGCTGATGGTTTTGTTCTGGCTAGCCACCAACCAAACAGACTTGTCTTTGGCCAAGATCAGCTCAATTGCGGCGCATTCACTGGCTGTGCGCACCTCGATGCCTTGATGGCATTCATCCAGCTTGGCAATCGATTCAAGCTCAATTGAGGCCGGCGAGGCATCAGCAGAGGTTGAAGTTGGAACTTCACCAGTGGCGGTGACCACAGCTGATGTGTTCCCAACCAAAGCCATGTGCTTGTCCCGAAGGGCCTCATACTCTTGAAGGATGTTCCCCGTTTGGGAGCTCCAGTACCTGATCAGGAACCATGATCATATATAAAAATAACTGTGGTTCATAGTACCCGGGATTTAATATTACTTGTGGAACCGTTTGGTGGATCAAAAGGCCGAGACTTCAGAGACATTGATCTTTTGAGTTTGGGATTTTGGGTGAAGGCAAGCATCCCCAACTGATAATAAACATGATGACATGACTGGGGTTTGTTTTTTTGGATAGCTTGTTTGGATGCATAATTGATTATCTGATGGTATGTTCATTACTCTTGTACCTGAATGGGTTAGGATTCGATGGATCATGTGATAACAGTTTGGATTGGTGTATTTTTGGTTTGACGTGGTAAGACTATCATGTATTAATTATTACATAATAAAGACTAGAACCATTGGATGTATTCCCCCAAATCATCAAAGACGAGATACTTGTGCTCGTCCGGTTTGATGACCATCTTCTCACCACTGCGCTCAAGAATCTCGAACTTGAGGCTGTCCAGGTTTCCCAATGCCGCTTTGGCCCCGGGGATGCTGTCCACCTCCTCATTGCTCAGCTCTGGCGCATCCAAGCTGAACTTGTTCCCCCCGTACTCAAACCTGCGGCTGGTCCAAGCATCAGTGACTTCTCGAGTAAGTCTGGCATGGCCGAAGCGGTCCTTCATAATCCATTGAACAGAATGGTAGTACAGGTTTTCCGTGCGGAAGCCACCCTTGAGCTCTTGGTTGGCCAGTCGCATCTCGAAAACCTAAGTGGGTAAGAGATACCATTGATGATCCCAAGCTTGGTTATCTGATGATGGTAGGATACCTATTTAGGAAGGGTATTCAATGACCATTAATGATCCATGAGGTTGATATCCATTATGCCAAAGACGGGTGCAATTTCAACAATGGATTTCTGAATGTTGATCGACGTCATAAATCAAATGGTCAGATGTATCTTCAGAACTTGGGTGATCAGCGGCTGTAATGATGGAAAGGCCAGGATTTAGTTACAAGTCTTACCAGTTCATGGCGGTTCAGAACCTTTTCCCAAAGCATGGCCAAAGAATATCCTTCAGCTGCATCAATCTACGACCTAATTAAAAGCAGTTGCGACTACCACATCTTAACCCCCAATGCGTTTCATTTGTGCAGCATTTGCTGCAACAACATACAGAAAGTATGGTGGTGGGTTTTTAGGAAAATCCTGTTTTGTGCGCATGCCTTCTCCACCTTTCACTTTGTTGCGACATGGACCAGGATGAAATTCTAAGTGCCAATCTATGAGGCATGCTTCCAAGGTTTCAACTTGTGCAAGCGAATTAGTTGCATGGATGCAACACATCTCACTGAAGTTAGCTTCATAGTAGAATTGCACACGGCCAGCCAAACACGATGTGATGCCGATCTTGTACACTGCCAGCTGATAACCCCCATGTCTTTCTCGAACATGATGGATCTGGTCCTGGTGTAAGACTGTGTGAATGATTGTATCCATTAACCAAATCACAAAATGAATCGTTGCATCGGTTCTACGTAGTTGGCCCACGGCTTATAGACGGCCGTGGCGTTTTTGTTGTTTTTAGGTCATTTTGTCCTAGTTTTTACAGCATTTTGTGTTGTTGTCGCTGTGCCTCTGGTCCGTCTTCTAACTTTTTTTCTCATTTTTCGGGATTTTTGTTCTTGTGAACTTTCCTTCCTAGAACTTCACACGCTCTTGATGCTACGTTGTGAACTTTCTTCCTGGAACTTCACACGTTCTTGATGCTACGTTGTGAACTTTCTTCCTAGAACTTCACACGCTCTTGATGCTACGTTGTGAACTTTCTTCCTAGAACTTCACACGCTCTTGGGGGGGGTTTTGGGGGGGCTAATAACGTTCTTTCGTGTGCGTTTTACTTGACTCCGTTGTCTTGATGGTATACGTTGTGAACTTTCTTTCTAGAACTTCACACGCTCTTGATGCTACGTTGTGAACTTTCTTCCTAGAACTTCACACGCTCTTGATGCTACGTTGTGAACTTTCTTCCTAGAACTTCACGCGCCCTTGATGCTACGTTGTGAACTTTCTTCCTAGAACATCAATATATGTGGCGTCACACCATTTTGCCGTGTTCTCCTCAAAAAATGATGTCACACCTTGTCGACATGATGAAGAAACATCATGACTTTCAATAGCGGCCTCATCCACTGAAACAAATAGTCTGGGGGCATTGCAAAAACACTAAAAAACATATATTTCCCCATGTAATTACGTGATGAAGCCGCTTTAACCAATGGCACGGCTGCGTGAATAGTCCAAAATGGACTTCTATGCTTTCACCACTGTAAATCAGCAGAAAAAAAGGCGATAATTGCTGATGTGCTCATTTCCTCACGGCCGTCTGTGAGCCGTGGACCTAGTAGTTTATGGTGGCATCCTTAATAACCAAACAATGGACAGAGGTAAACCAGTGATGATTAGTTTCAAGAAAATGCAACGATGCTACTGTCATGCATATCATTTTTTGTAAATCAGAATGGCCAGCAGGAAACATCCATAATCAAAAAACCGTCCTTGCAGTGACGAAGAATGCCACCAGCAGTGGTGGCTGGTGGCTGAACACGAATGGTCACCCCAGCATTCCGTGGTTCGATTTGCCAATCCGGTGGTAATGCTGAATGCGGGGCTTGCTCATCAAGAACATGTTCTTCTTGATCAAGGGTTGACACACGGGTGCTAGTATGTGATGATGCTACTCGAGGGGAATCAGGCTCATCAGGTTCATCATACCATGGCATTATGCATTTCCCACGCTTAAAGAAATGGTCGGGCCCAGCCAACATCATGATTGGTTTACTGGAGGTAGTCTACATGGCTTGAACCCCAAAAACTACAGGAAATAGATCTGCAAATTGTGTTCCGCGATGGTCCAGCGTTGTGCATGCATATGTCAATGCAAACGGAAATTTCATGACATCTTTTGGAACTGTTTGGAGTGAACTTCCGACAGGACCTTCCCACCCAACCCCTAAGACCGAGAAACTGCACATCCAACATCCTCAATGTAGCCAGTGAGGTTGAGGATGATGCAGGGCTTGTTCTTGAGGACATCGCCGGATGCGGTCAACAAGGATGCCAGCAAAGCTGACCACCTCTTGGTTCCCTTCTGGGCCTGACACGCCTCACTGCTGGGTCGTTGTCTTTCCGCCTGCTTGAGATCCGACTCAGGGTCCAAGGACTCCGGGAGGATCATGTCCTTGGAAAGGGGCAAAGTGATCTCGGTGTCAAGCTGGACCGGTCGTCCACAAAGGCCAAGTTCAGAATTGCAAATGAAGGGGTTCTCATCAACAGCGTCCAAATTGCAGACGAGGCGGCCAGAGTTGAAACGCCTGGAGGCAAAGCTGGTGGTTGCAAACTAGATAGATGGACCCCATTGATATGTATGATTCAATGCGATGATCTAGAAAGTAATTTTGGTTCTCCACATGAATTATAATGATGACCATGAAACCAATAGTCACATATTGTGCGACCACCATCGGAAATCAAACCAAATCACGGTGGTTTGCAATCAATATCGTCATGTGCACCATCATCCATCATCAACCACATCATCATTATCACCCATCATCATCCGCCATCATCTCCATCATCATCACCATTAACACCAACATCAGCATCATCAGCATCATCATCATCATCATCATCACCATCATCGTCATCACTATCACCATCATCATCATGATCAATTTCACAATCATCATCATCATCATCACCATCATCATCATCATCCTCATCATCCATCATCATTCACAAGTTCACCATGTTCAGCACCATCATCATCATTAAATTATCACCATCATGCTCATCATCACAATCAGCATCATCCTCATCATTATATTATAATCATTATAATCATCGTCATCATCATTATCATCCTCATCATTACCATCATTTATACCCAAACTCATCATCACCATCATCATTCACCGCTATTCATCGTAACCCGTCATAAAAACCAACATCATCACCAGCATCCATCATCACCCATCATCATCACCATTATCATTATCATCCTCATTATCTTCACCATCATCATCATCATCACCATTTTTACCATCACCAACATCGTCAACATCATCATTCTCATGATCATGTTGACCATCATCATTGTCATCATCCATCATCATTAACATGTTAACCAGGTTCAGCACCATTATCTACATCATCATTGCTATATTCATCATCACAACCCTCATCATCATCATCATCATCATCATCATCATTACCATCATCATCATCATCATCCTTATCATCATGATCATCATCGCCATGATCATCATGTTCATCATCACAACCATATGCGTTATCATTTATTATCCATCAACATCATCATTTTCATGTTCATCACCATCATCATCATCATAATCATCATCATGACCATCATAATCATCACACTCATCATCTATCATTATATCATTTTCATTATCATCATCATCATCCTCATTATCTCCCCCATCATCATCATCATCACCACCATCATCGTCATCACTATCACCATCACCATCATCATCATCTTCTTCTTCTTCCACCATCTTTCATCATGATCCTACGTCAACATCATCATCATCATCACCATCATCCATCATCACCCATCGTCATTGTCATTATCACCCATCATCATCCCTCACCATGATCCATCATCATCATCATTATCATCTTCTTCTTCATCATCATCATTAAATTATCACCATCATGCTCATCATCACCATCATCATACATCCATCATCATTGAAACCACCACCATCACCATCAACACCATCCGTACCATGCCAAAACCATCATGGATTTGGAAGCACACTCATACTTAAAGTGTGTCATTACATCTTATTTACTGTATGGTGATATGTGATGGCTAGTTCCATTTCCCAAGCGGCTGCATATCATTAATTTTTATCATCCGTGGGTTGAACTAAGAAAGCACTGCCTTCGATTGGTTTGCGCGTCCGCACTCGGGTGGACGTTGAATGGGCAAATCCATCGAACGTCACAGCTTTGTCTCAGGGCCCATAGGCTAGTCTGCAGCTCGTTCTCCTCGTCAGCTAGGCCACGCTTGCTGCTCTTCTTCGCAATCTCAGGTAGCTCGATCATAGCCACAGTGCGAGCCGGTGCCAAGTCGTTTGCGAATTGGACAGAACTGCAGAGATCATTCAGCGTCTCGCTGTTCTTGGCACCGGGGACGTTGAGGTCAACCACCACCACCATGAACAGGTCTTGGTCAGCTTTGCACCCAGCACATTGGGCCTGAGGAAATGGCCGTCACAAAAAATGCCTCATGTTTTCATCCTAAGTAATTAGAAGTTGGAAATGGTTGTGAAGGGATGCATTACCTCACCTAATGGCTTTTCACGGGATCAAAACCAGCTGGTGGTTGACCTGCATGTAGCGCAGCTTAAGGCCATCCCATGCTTAGGATCCATGAGTTCCGAAACATTAGAAACATTTCTCATGCAAAGCTTCGAAAGACTCGAGAAAGATTTCAATCCTCTAGTAATCCTAGTTCAATCTTAGGAACATGGCAAGCTAGCAACTGATATGGACTGATCATTTTTGCCAAGATACCACAAAAGATCTGTACTCGTTCACCTTTTGCTGCACCAGCTCTGGCTTGGAGACCAAGTCAGTCCGCAAGTACTTCTCCCGGTAGGATTTGACCACCTTCTCGCCAATCTTCGCTTGCTCCAACTTCCAAGCGATCTGCTTGCGGTGCTTGAGCGATTCCAACTTGGCAGGGGCATCCTCAGCCAAGCGTAGCTTCTCCTGATCCCTTTGCAGAGCGTTCTTGAAGAAAGCCCACCGAGCTTCACGAACAGCAAGGCGTTCTTTTTCAACTTCCATGGTCGCTCCTTCCTCTTGGGATCTGGCAGCTTGCAAGGCTTCCTTTTGGGCGCAGGGAAGCATCGACACGGCGAACTGAGCTGGACGCGCATCCAGTAGCACTTGTAGTTCATGATCCTTGGAATTGCCATTGCAAATGGCGCTTTCCAGCTCAGTGTAGTTTCCCACCCGTGTAGAGCAGAACACTTTGATTTGCTGCCACAAACACACTAAATTGCGAAGGTTCAGAAGGTCCTCCTCCGCCATCCGGTAGCGTTTTCGATCTTGCGGTTCAGCGATGATCGCTGTGGCTCTTTCAAATTGCTTGCGAATCCTTTGAAACAAGATGCCCTGTGCAGCACCGGACATCGGCAAAGCCCAGTTCACCGAGACAGTTGGCTCATTCGCAGCAGGAGCCAAGTCAGACATGGTCAATGCAGACAGCCCAGCAGTAGAGTCTAGGAAGAGAAACTTGTACATGCTGAGCTGATCACCCCAAGGACCAAATTGAAACGGATCATCCCGCAACGAGATGGCAACTTGCTCATGGGCCGCATCAGCAGTTTGTTCAAGCCAGTGTTTGATCTGGTGCTGCTTCTTCGAGTCCAACATCAAGCTTCCGCTGCCAGCTTTGTCCTGGAACATGGGCCAGAGACAGCTGGGTTTTAAAGGAAGGACGATAGATATCAAAAGGCCATATTCAATGCATGGATTCAATGGCATTCATTAACCAGTCATGTTTTTGCTAAATATTTTTTGCATATTGATTTACCTGCTCTTGTATTCCCATATGATGTCAACTATCTTGAAGTTGGTGCAATGCCATCAGCACCCCCAAAAAAAAACTCAGTCCTTTGAAGTGCCCCCGTGAGCTGCGACCTCGGGGTTCGCGTTATAGAGCTCGATGGCCTCCTGCATCGACACCGACGACGTGGCTTTCCTGCTGGCACTCGACAACAAGCCTCGCAAAATAAGGCTCCACTCGTATGAGCTGACAGATTGTTTCTTCGCGTCCACGTTCTGTTTCACTATCCTCCGGATCATGTCAGCAGCTTCGTCATGAGTTTGACTCTTGTAGAAGGTAGGAATTTGAAGTAGGCTTCGCGCCAGATCAGCCATGGAAGGGCTCACAAACTCCTCATCTTTGATGCTTTGGCCATGATGCATCATCCCGCACCACACCAGAGCGCATGCAAGTCCTCTCATGCCCCCGTCATCGAAGTGAAGCATGCCCTGGACATACTCCCCCACATCATCGCTATCCCCAGGCGCTAAGCGCATGCCGATGCTCTCACCCTGGGATGGTGGATGAGGGCGGGATTGTGGTGATGAACATGTTGGGGTGACAATCCTAATGATGTTTTGGGGCAATCTTACTATGCTAGTTGGTGACCAGGTAACTGCACCATCATCATGGTTTGGGATGATGACCCGGTGTAACATCACGATGAACACATAGGAGACATGCTTATTATACTATATAGCGATCATCATCACCCATAACCATGATCATCAAGCATGACATTTGGTCACATATCAGAATCATTGGGCGGGGTCAGAAATGCATAGAAATGCAATCCCGCGAAATCAGGTGAGCAATACCATTAGCTGTGGTGGTTCCGGAAATCCATGATAGTGGTTGATGCAGGGGTTCTGGGCCTTTTTGAGGATGAAAAAAATAAAAAATCACAGATGGTTGTTAATACCATTCAGGACAATAAGGAATCAACCAAGACGAAATATTTGAGGTCACATCTCCATAAACCGCCTGGTGTGAACGGTTTCATCCCGGCTATCCTTTGGAAATTTCGGGGTATTTATACCTGTGACTCCGTCCGTCTAAAGTAACAACTAAACAAGGGCTCAGCAAACCCAACTTTCGGGGATGTAACCTAAACATATCCTAAACGCCTAAACATATTATATTGAAAAATATTGAGAAATTATTGTTTCAGATTTGGGTACTGGTTGAACCACAAAATAATACAACATATGTTGAAGAATTGTGATTCTTTGGGCTACCAGTCATCTATGATTCTACTATATATGATAGACTTTCTTGGGGCCACCCATTGGGAGTACATGATATATCTTGAACAGAATATGTGATAGATGTATGTTGAAGTAGTGAATCATTATTATTATCTAGAAAACACATATCAGATTTGTCAGGATTATCTTGGGCGGCGAGCTATTAGGTTTGGCGTGGGTGGCGAGCTGTTAGGTTTAGCTTGGGCGGCGAGCTCTTCCTGGAAGAGCTCTCCACCTCTCCGCTTTCATCTTTGGGAATTTATCTTAGGGCGGCGAGCTCTTCCTGGAAGAGCTCTCCACCCAGAGCCCTGCAGAGATACCCCAGAGTCATTCCCCACATCTACCACACTTCATGTCCTATGGATCATTCCTAGAGATAATCTATGACCAGTAATCCTGAATACATTTGGCTATTTGTGGGTCTGAACCGGTTCAAGTCTGGGCGGCGAGCTCTTCCTGGAAGAGCTCTCCACCCAAGCCCCCCAAACTTGATGACCAAAGCGGAGAGCCCGTATTGAAAATTGCTAATGTAAGAACAGATTTGGATGGGTTTTGAATTTGGTTAGATCTTTCCCAAAAAGTATTACATGTATTGAGCAATAGGGTTCACCAGCCACAATCGGATTTAAGTTCTGTAGCCCAGCCCTTGCCAGCCCTTGAATCCAAGGTACATCTCGCCAGCCGACCATCGCGATTGACTTCGCGATGTCCATCACGGTGGCCATGTCTGGAAGCCTCCAGAAGCTCTTGCCAGCGAAGCTCCACTGCAAGATCGAGGTCCGGAAAAAGGTGCCAGGTGTAGGTGGAAACTCCTGGCGTTCAGTGGAAGCATCACGATCACTATGTTCAACAGAGATACCCGCTGGATTGAACAGTACCATAGATCTTATCTAAATACATTCATTTTAAAATGATGATAGCCTTTCTGAAAAATTCTGAACTTAATGGGCCATTCAGCTAATGAAATTTCATCCTATGCGGTCCTGCATTTTCAGGTACTTGTTCATGAAATCTTCATCGGTACTAGAACTGTCCATGATGCCCAGCTTTTTGACAAGGTCCAAGCTATCAGAAATCATGGCATCCTGGTCACAAAAACATCGTTGGACAATGTCCAAGAAAGAGCCACCCTCATTCAATGGAAACTTGCGCTTCTCAGGAAAGCCGTGGCGGCCTTGGTGGACCATGGTGATCCAGTCTTTCAAACTGATGCGCCCTGGAGCGACGTCGGAGACATCTCGGGGGATGTTCAACTTGGCATTCGAGGTCTTTGCCTTTTTTTTGGGCGGCATAGCCTTGGATTCTACGTAGAAGCTGCCTAAAGGTTGTGCCTAAAAAGCATGCAGATAAAACCATATCATGGCAGATTCCAACGTCCATTGGTCTTGTGGCATCATGCCACGCAGTATCAAAAACAAAATGATTTCCATGTTGATTTCATGTAGTTTGCTGTGAACACCCTATGAACATCATTTAGGTATGGTTGACACGCACTCGCTGAATGCAAACTGCAGCTGGGTCACATAATCTTTGTGCCGACATCAAATTTGGATGGTGATTATCACCATTTTGTTTTCAAGAACTGTCTACGTGTTGACAAACACGGCAGCCCATGGAGCACCGCGAAGGTATTTGAAACAGTTCAAATTGGATTCACATGATCCTCAAAAGCCCATCACACGGCCCATCTCCTCGGCCATCAAGGACGTGGTCTCCAGTTGGCCAAAATGGCGACCAACGCTGCGAGGTGCACTGGGACACTGAACCTCAGAGCAGGGCAGGCTGATTTGACTACGAGTAAAATGAGGATCAAGATACAAATTAAATACTGCCCAGCTTTGTTTTGAGTCACCGATATTGGGGTATCAATATAAAGTAAATATGCCTGCAAGTCAAATAGCAGTAATTAACTCAATACAGGATCTTTGAGAAAGTTCAAGGCAGGGTTCAGGAAATCCAAACGAGGATCGTTGAGAAACCCCACCAAAGGATGTTTGAAAACTCTTCAAGCTAGGATCTTTGAGAATCATGGTAAGCTGCAAACATTTTTGAAGAAAACACATGTTCGGTTGACATCAAGGAATGGAATTGAGTTAAGGAACGCATTCCCGATGAACTTCCTCATGGTAGCTTCAGATTCCTCCGCCATGCGATACTTGACCCATTCCACGGATCCAATGCCTTGAAGGCGTGCAAGTTCCTGGAGCAAAGCTGGTGGAGAGTCTTGTCGCAAAGGATGATTGACTCTTGGAGCAGCCAGCCAGTGGGATGTGGTTCCACAGCATGACTTATTAGCGGGAACAATGATTCCATCAGTGCAACCCTTGGATATGTTGGGTAATGATGATATTGGCAATTGTTTCATTACCATGGGTCACGGTGTACCTATCTCGCATCCATAGCTGGCAAAGGTCAACCGGCAGTCAGAGTGAAATCAATGTTTGGTCCGGGACATTACTTAGTCACTGTTGATAATCATTGGTGTGTGTAATTACTACTGTCAGGTATTAACTAATCCTGATTGATGACTTCACTCGTTAGTGTAATTGCAGATTGTCATGCATGAAGCAGGTTGAAGACCTGCGAAAAAAATATCATTGTTTGGGGGCAACCGATCTTAGCTTAATTTGATGTGTATAGTTGGATAATAAGTCGAATAAGTATTGTGACTATGAGGTGGCCATCGCCCTCAGCAAAATCGATAGCCATTGTCATCAAACCGCAAATAGTCAATATAGCTAACGATTGTGTTATCACCATCAAGCAACCCCACACACCCATCCTTGGGTGAAAGGATTCGAAAGCCCCCTGGGCCAGTGGCCACGTATTTCCCTCCCGGGATCACGCACGTAGTTGTGTAGACATCGGACTTGGGATAGGTAGCGCGGTCGAAGTTTTGGTCCTGAGAGTGCTGGTAGTGGCAATGAAGGCGGTGTTTGTGATGGACTTGGTGATAACAATGGGGAGATGATGATGCTGATGATGATGTTGTTGGTGGTGGTTACTGCTGCTGATAATGATGGTGATTGTGATGATGATGATGATGATGATGATGATGATGACAATGGTGGTGATGATGCTGATGGATGATGATGATGATGGTGATGGTGATGGATGATGATGATGATGATGATGATGGTGATGAATGATGAATGATGAATGATGAATGATGAATGATGAATGATAATGATGATGATGATGATGACGAGGATGATGATGATGATGATGATGATGATGAAGTCATAGTCATTGATAAACATGACAATCATTATTAAGATCATGTGGTTGTTGGTGACAAAGATGATGATGATGATGATGATGACGACGACGACGATGATGATGATGATGATATAACGGTTTGTCCAGGATCTTTCTTTTTTTCCAAAAACAAAGAAATCTGAGTTGCGTTCCACCATGATGTTGATGATGATGATTGTGATGGTGATGGCTGATGATGGTGATGATGATGCTGGCTATGGTAAAGATTATGATGATAATGCCGCTGATGATGATTATGATGATGACAAAGGTGATGGTGATGACGATGAGCAGGGGGACGATGAACGTGATTATGGTGTTTTGATGGTGATGACACTCATGAAGAACATGATATTAATGATCAAGGTGATGGTCATGGTGATAATGGTGTTGATAGAAGATGTGACTAAGATGATGATAGACGGATCGAGGGATTGATCGATGGATTGATTGATTGGTTGAAAAATAGATACTACATAGATAGAAAGATAGATGGGGAGGTAGATAGAAAGGCAGAGAAATAGTTGATAGATGGATGTTGATAAATAGGTAGATAGACAGAAAGAAAGATAGATAATAGACATAGATAGATAGATAGATAGATAGATAGATAGACAGATGGATAGACAAATAAGTAGGTAGATAGTGAGTGATAGGTAAATACATGGATAGATAGACAGATACATGGGTAAACAGATTGGTACATGGACAGATAGAAAGATAGGCAGATAGATAGATGAATGAAAGATGATATATGATAGATGGTGTGATGATGATGATGCTGCTGATGATGATGATGATGCTAGTGATGATGACGATGATGATGATGATGATGATAACGGTCAGGATGATGATGGTTATGACGATGATTATGCACATAATGATGGTGATGATGATGATGATGATGATCATGGACATGACAGCGGGGATGGTGATGATGGTGATGATGATGATGATGATGATGATGATGATGGTGTCTGTGAATCAAAAGGAATGGTTTCCAAAGGAAAATACAGGAAATGCCCACAAATGAAATACTCATGGCTTAGTATACTGGCACACTGCCTTGTTACTTTTGATCCGGGGGTCCACCTGAATGATGATCAACTGCTTCATGGCATCCACACCCCGGTTGACATGCAGATCTTCGACTGCCACTGCCAGAATGCAAATCTCCCGGTTGCTGCATCCCAACGCCAGCGCCTTTAGCTGCTTGACCCGCTTCTCCAAAGTTGCCTGCACTGGCAGGCATTGAGCATGGTAAGTATGGATGGGTAAACCATATAACGAATCAAGGTACCACAAGTCATGATTGAAGCCACCAATAGTTAAGAACGTTAAGAAACACATCACCAGTCAATATGAACAACCAATTTTTTTTACAGACTTGATGTTGGGTCAGTTGATCACTTTTGTTTCAGTTGCCCCTGCCTTCCCATAGATCTCGCATTGTTCAGCATAGCCAGCAAGCCATTTCGGGTCACCCTTCCCATCTTGTAAGGTACCTGATTTTTTTGGGGGCTGACCATCTATGGTGAAGTCCACGCAGTACCGCATGGTGACATACAGCCGCCGAAACTGGTTGACATCCGAGGTAACTACATGAGCTGGGACTTTGACATCAGATTGCAAGTGGCAAAGGATCCAGGCCCGGTTCCTTTGCTGGGGCAAGCCAAAGTCAACCGTGTTGTAGAGCCCTGCTGCCACATGGTATCCCAAGGCCTCCAGCCGACGCTTGATGATGTCATACCTCAGGTTCAGAGAATTGTGAACATCATGTGACTTAGCATGGTCGTTTTTCAAGGGGTATGGTAAGTGACCCATCATCCAGATAGTTGACAGCAAGTATTGCAAAGTGAAAACAATGAAACAGCGACGATCAGATCAGAGTAATGATTGTAAGCCTGACCTACCAGCCCGATATGGTTGCTTTGAGGATGCTCATTAACCAGGGTAACAATAATTATCAAGGATGCTGACGCTGAGAACAGTGGCAATACTGATGATGCCAATTGGTTCACAAAGGATACTCAGAATACATATCATCAAAGTAAATAACTATGATCCATATTTGATTACTTGTTTATCACCGATGGATAATAAATATGCAATCAGCCGCATTGTATTTCACAAAAAGATCATGTTGAAACACAAGTTAGCCAAAGAACGGGGCCGCATATCCTTCAATCTTTCGTTTCTGGAAAAGGGTGGCCACGTTTTCCAGCAGAAGCATGGTGGGTCGATACTGCTGTGCGTATTTCTCCACCCCAAGGTAGCCCTTGCCACTCTCACATTTGGCATCAGTGACACTCCCGGGGGTGGTTGTCAATACAGACAGACTCACACATGGGAATCCTCCCACCAAAAGGTCCACCTACAGTGACCTACAGGGGATGCTATGACTTTGTGTGATAAAGCCGCTTGATGCCATAACCAATTCACAAATTATTGGAATAAACGGGTCCAAAATCATAGGTTGTTATACATGAGAACTATCCATCAATCGATACCGGTATGATCATCATTTATTGAATTATATGTGGAATCAAGTTTGTTTTGATGGGTAGTTGCATCCCAATGATTTAGGCCCCAAAACCGAGCCTTTGGAACTTTCGCCGCTCCACCATCCCAAGTTCGAGCATGTGTCTTGTGCAGGTCAGACACATCCTGGAACATGATCGTATGGGGGAACCTCTGGGCCAAGTATCGCTGCTTGCCCTTGTCGATCTCGGCCATGAAGCAGAAGTCCACCTGCAGAGGGGTGGTTGGACCCGGATTGGTTGACCTAATTGAGAAGTATAATGTTTATGGATATCCAATAATTACCTCCCATATCATCCCATTATTCCATCAAAATACTAACCGTCATTCTGGAGAATTGGTCTGGATGGTTCAAACGCCGCTGCCATGGATATGACATCATACAATCAACCTGTGTACATCAGGAGTATTGGCGGTGGTTCTATCTCAACAGAATGTATAATATCCACACCCCTGATGATGAAAAGGCTCCTGGGCAATCATTATTGTTTATCATGCTTTCAGACAATGAAGGCCTTCATGACAGCATCATCCGGGGTGGAACATGAAGAGTTCCACTTGTTCTGCAGAGTGTCAACCACCATTTCCAAAACAGCCCATCCCGTGAAGAGGCTGCCCATGATGGTATCAACTTGCCGCAGGGTGTCGGCTAGCTTCAAACGAAGTTCTGAGAATCCGGGGTTCGCCACAAAGTCAGCGGCAAACGCATCTACCTAAGGGAAAACAAATCAGGGTTATGAACCGAATGATACCGAATGAACAAACTGAACATGTTGGCTGGAACGATGGTGTCACCCAGTACATGGATAAAACATGAAAAAACAACAACTTGAAACGTGACAGTGCCACGGGAACTGCTCGCTTTGTGACTAGTGATAAAGAGTGGATCAGGTACCGCTTAGTATTTCGATGGTTTCATGATTATTTCATAATTTCGATAGTGTCAATGACAGCCAACCCATGGTCAACTATTTTGTAAACCAATGCTGTCATCACTGCTTTCAATTTTCCATGGGTCAATCAACCAGAAAACAGTTATCACCACCATTTTCAATATTTTTTGATTATTTGAACGATGACCTCAATAATATGTGATGATGATTTTTATCATATCATGGATTTGCTCACTATTAGTCATTAATCATAGTTTACCATGAGTGAAAACAAAAAATGATTTACATCATATCACATTTCAACAACATGGTTAGTCATTTTGTGGTACCCCACCCTGTGGTTTGAATGGACTCAGGGTAGGCAATCAATTGTCATGACAACCCAATGATTACGCCGGCCAGTGATTTGTTTTGCCACTCTGCAATTTTGGGGTGGTTTGATTTGAACAAACATGTTAAGAACACCATAGTCCCAAAAACTGGCCGGCTTACCATTATGGCCGAAACCATTCCAAGCTACTGAAGGCTCTCCATGAATTTGGCTCAGCTTCCCATACACCACAGATCCCTGAGCACCACTGGCATTACCGGTGTCACCACCTTCTGCATCCGAGGCTAGCAGCATGGCCTGTGAGCCTTCGCCGTCCGATCCACCTGAGGAGGGCTGAGAAGTCTGATGGACGCCCTGAGATGAGACGAGATTACCATGGATACTCTGTGGCTGGGTTCGGTTCAACATGTTTGATACCAGATCTGGCAGCTGAGGATGTAATAATATACTATTCACCCTCGCATTGATACATCACATGGCAATAACAAACTAATGAAGTGCTTAGCCAGCCAAACTCCAGGCATCTAAAAGTTTGAACTTTCTACCCAAAATAGCTGTGCAAGTCTCACCTCGCACGTGCCGCATCTTTTAACACTGGAGGGCTAAGGGATAAGGGCTAAAGGTATCACATTTTCGCCCCTTGAAAATCAAAACAATGGCGTGAGGTTTGCAATGGGGCTTATGGCCGAAGTTCTTGTAGTATGAAAATGCGATGTTTTCACCTTTGTTTGAAACTGTGTCTAAACTTGTCGTGGTTTCAGTTTGGCAAAGTATGTCAGAGCAATGGCCTTGAAATGCCATGTTGGGGATCAATCGAAATAAACAAATGTTTTAGCCGAACAGCATGCTCCGAAATCTGCAAAAAAAAGAATATTGAACATGTTGGCTGGGACCAAGAAGGTCTCAGGACATCGTTTCGCGCGAACGCGTCTGGTTGTGTTGGCTCGGAACATAGGTTTTACTATCCCGTGGGCGAAGTTGAACCAGGTATGCTCGGAACAAACTTCCAGCACGGACACTCAAGGTAGCCCACCCGAGCGGACGCAACTGGTTGTGTTGGCTCGAAACAGCTTTCAAACCAAACACCAGTTCAAGCATACGTCGCTTCAAAAAGACCAGCTATGTGCAGACACCATTGTTTGCGTTTTAAACAAACATTGGACGCGCTCCAAACTCCAAAAAGTTTTCCTCAACGCTGGCCGCGAAGATATGCCGCCACTACTTTCTGCCACTCGCAGCACGCTAATGCTTTATTTTCCAAAGAATTGGGTACATTAATCAATTCTAGTTTTTACTCTCTCCTCACCCTTCGAGATTTTGCTATCTTCTCGCCCCAGCAGAAGCTTGACATCGCTGGCGGTTGCACGGCAACTTCACCATACATAACATCAAAGAAACTATGATCAAAAGGCAGGCTACGTAAAAAAAGTTTAAAAATTAGGTCTTGGACTGCTAAGGAAGTCTAAGGTCTGACATGTGTAAGTGTGACGAAGGGAAACTCATCCCTATACCTTCCTACCACCAGCTCGCTGCTAGCCAACCGACCCGAGCCTTCATCACCAGTCTCATGAAGGACTTCGCAGGATTGAGAAGAAGTCTCGGCTTCCTTTTCAGCTGTCCTCCCGGGATGGTTAGTCGCAGGATCTGTCTTGGTGAGTCTCACGGTAAGTCAGCATTACTGAACATACTGACTGGATTTCAGACAAAAATATGTGTTGCATAAGATGAGTGATGATTGGTTTCATTGACTTTCTGAACCTGCTGTTTGATATGCATTGTGAGGAACTGGCAAACTACATGATTTCAGCTTTTGTGTTATTGGGTGAGCTGAACATGAGATCAGGTGGATTTATAAGTTGGAGAACCTAAAGTGAAGCACATTTTTTCAGCTCCAAAGGCATGTGGCAAATGAATCCGTCACTCGCCAAGACCAATTGGCAATTGCACTGGCTCATCATCTGACGAGCTGTCGCTGCCACCAGCAGTGTCACCCCTCAAAGTGAGATCAAAGTGTCTCAAGCGGCGTGGTTGTTGCCATCGTCCAGCTTCAAATGGTTCCAGACGCATGTCAGGTGACCACCGGTGATTCAAGAAGGTGTAGACATCAGGTTTTGGCTTTTGAGGCAACTGGTTTTGGCACCATCCAAGTAAATAGTTCGCCCCTTCCTGGGTTACCTCACCAGTTTTTTGACAAATGGGAACCCGTTTCATGAGATTGGCTTGAACTTGGTCACCAATTCTCCGTCTACTCGCTACACCAGCAGGGGGCTGATACCCTTGCCTGATTTGTTGGACCATGCAAGCTGGCATCACAGCGACTGCACGTTGAATCTCGGTGTCCGATAGCCATCGCTTGGTGACAAGGAAAACATCCTGATCATGAAGTGTCCAACGTCCTCCAAGTTCTTCCAAATGATGCACGTTATCCAAAACATCGGCTCCTAAATCTTTCCGAGCGCGAAACCTCATATAGTGAACATGTCGGAGACCCTTGAATGTGACGCCCATCTGGCCAACATATTTTTTCCAGCAGGATACCTGATCAAGCTTGTTTGTTGTAGCCACAGAGCCCCGAATCCTGCCGGACTTCTCCGATGGTTGGCCCTGTTGAATGCAATCCTCCAGTAAGGCAATCATCTCATTGGCTGATTGACAAGTTTTTCCCATTAGAAGCCTGCCTATTTGACCAAAAACTTGATCTACATCATCATGGCTGTGGGACGTTCGGAGATATCCCAGGGATGTAAAGCGATATATCCCTAGGATTTGGAGCAGCAACATGAGGCCAATCACAAAGCGGTTTTTGCCTTCGCGTGGACAATTGTCTTGCTGCAAATGCAGTGTCAGAGCCATCGATGAACACTGATCAAAAAGATCTTGGAGGGAAAGGCACAAGCACTCAATTTGAGTTTCGCTGTTCTTTTTGAGGTCCTCATCACTGACATACAGAAAGAGCCGGTACCCATGAACCCACGAAGCTACCAGATGTGTTGCTGGGCGGTATAGTTTGGTTGCGGCTTTGCTTAGCTTAGCATACCCCCACTTTGGAAGTCTCAGCTTAGCCTGGTCCATTCCATCTTGGATCACCGTGATTATTGATGATGCAATATCAGAACCAGAAAGCTTCTTGCTGAAATGCAAAGCTTGTGCAAAGTAGTTCCGGCTCGATGTTCTGTGATTCCAGTAAAATTGTCGATCAGACCATTGTTGCAGCAAATGCTGGCTATACAACCGAACACTCAAAGCCTTCGATGCTTTGGATGTAGCATTCCTGATTCGTTTGCGAAGCCGGTGGCAAACATCACATTGACCAAAGTCACCACGATCCCTCATACGTAGGTGGTGCTTAAAAACTGATTTCATCACCCTCCGGAAAGTAGTGAAGGCAGCAGCTGCTAATCCAGCTGCTTCACAGTAGGCTTGGTACTGCAGAAACAAATCCATTGGTCGTTGCCATTCCAAATATCGTCTTGGCCCAGCAAAAGTTCCCGGGCCACCATGGGTTACCTAGGGCGATCATGTTCATGGGCATTACCCAATAGTATGGTTTTAGGGGGGCATTAAAAAACTCAAACAGCAAAGAGTCTTATTAGTTTATCAGCAGTTCAAAGAGACAGCAATCATTAATTCATCAGTAGCATCAATCAAATGAATGTCACTCAAAATTATTTGATCGGTAAACTGAATGAGGTCATTCTCTTCACACAAAATAGTTTTGTATGAAACTAGCTGAGTGGCTGGGTTCACATCGTAGTTCTTTTCGATGCAAGCTAAGAAGTTCTGTACATACCTTTCTTGGAAGTCACTGTCTTCAGACATGGGATTCTCCTTGTACTTCCCCCCATCTTGACCAGGCATGGTAAACTGGATGGGTAGGATCTCAGCGCAACTGATCCAGAGCAGCCAAAAGAATGACATGATGGAGGGCCATTTCTGATTCACCGAAGATCGAACTAGGGACACACCGATTGATGGGTGCTTTGGTTCTTGGAGCCTCCCTGACTCCATGGTAAATGCAGGGTTACCCTTCCTCATGTTTTGCAAAGCTCCGGATCCGATTGCATACAACCTCATGTGGGCATATCTGCAGACCGGTTGATGTAGAAACGACAAATTGTGATCCACACTGCGATTGGTTGAATACCTTCGTCTCTTCTTTGGGGGGTCCTCTTCACCATCGTCGGAATCAGTGGCAATTAAGATCTCATCGTCATCAGAAGCAGGTAGGATGGCAGCCATGTTTTCCATGTCTGAATCACTCTGGACCAAAATGCCCCTGTCACTGTCACTTCTATCCGAATCAGTTTCCAGAAGAACAGTTGATAATGGAGCTGCAGCAGAATCAAAATCATCAGCCTGACCATCTACGTGATACCATTGCTGCAACAAAGCCTCCTAACAGGGTGGTAAACATCCCCAACCTTTTTTTAAGTTGAACAGGTATACTGACCGTTGATTTGGGTATCTGAAAGCCACTTATCAAGAACCTCTGATAATTAAGTGTGTGTGTGTTTCCGCAAGTTTCAACATATGGTCAGCAATGGTCACCAAACATCACCAAACCAAATCAATAATGATTATTATGCCTAGAAACTCAGTGACAAGTTATGAGATATGATTTTGCCCATGAAAGTCCTTGCGGTGCGCGTCCAAAGAGTGGAACCTGTCCCTCTCCCGTTGGATTTCCGAAGCCGCTTCCGCAAACTGATGGAAACATTTGACGTTGCTACAAATGCAGTTTCTGGAAACAAGGGTTGCAATCGGCACCCTTGATGGCATGGCTTCTCCGGCGTCAGTCAGTGCAAGTAGAAAGATGTAACTAAGTGACTAGATGTGTTGTGTCTCTTTCAATGCTTCTCTCACCTTTCTGTGGTCCTCAGACAATGTGATCTACTTTTAGCTTCTGTGGTCCATCCACTTCTCATTCCCTGGTTTTATGGACTTAAACAGACGCTTGTGTGTTCTTGAGCCGAGCTCATCTAACTTTGGTGCTCTCGGGCTACATAAAATTACACCTTGATACCTTGAACTTCTCTCGGTTTCTGTCCACCCAGCAGCAAACAGTCCTCTTCGCAGAAGGTCTTTTGAGGTGCTTCTTGGCGGAAGGTCTTTTGTAAGCTGCTGCGGGGCGCTTCATGGCGGTACTTTTCATCGGGACTTTGAATCCAAAGGGCCATGGGGTGTGAGGACCCGGGTCATGAATGAATGCAACAATGGACAACTCCCTGTACATGAAAGAACCAAAACCTGAAAACACCAACTTTTGCGGAACATCCTTATATATATATATATGTATATATATATATGGTTATATCCATGGTATTAAAAAAAAAAAAAAACTCCATAAGTTGATGGTTTTTCTGGTATTTACCAACAAGAATAGAGGTTTCACCAACAATATATATATATAATTGCTACCCCCCCCCCCTGATACCCACCTTGAGCGGCCTGCATGCGTGCAGAGCGAGCATTGACATGAATATGTTGAAGACATTTGCCAGCAGATGATGGATCAGGAAGGACATGAGAATCAGATTATTGAAGCAGATGATTGAAGCAAATAGGCGTGAAATTTACATAGGAAGCCCACAGATATGCGATGGCAGCAAAGTCAAGAAGGTTAGAACACAGCAGAAGGTGCTAGCAGCGACGCGCTGATTCTTTTGAACTCTGCCCCGCTGTGGTGGCTGGGCTCTCTAGGCCTTCAACAAGAACCACTGAACAAGAGAACCCGTTGCCAACCACAGATCCTGCCCCCTATGCCAGTACTCATACTGAGCAGAGCGCAAACGGATGCGCAGAAGACTGCTGCCAACTTTGCAGTTCTGGTTGATGTTCAACCGGTCTTTGAGGAAACGCCAGCATCTGTCAATGATCTGGGTGCCCTTTTTGACTGTGATTGCCTTCTTGCTGCCGGGGAGGACATGCTTGTGCAACTCCACATACTTTGGAGTGAGCCATTTCCATTCTCCATTGACTTTCACCCGCTTCTTTTTGTGGATGACCCGGTCATGGAGGACACCCTTGACTTTGATGGCATAACTTTTTGCCGAGTCGGTGTGGAGAATAATGTCACGGTGTTGAAGCCATTTCACAGCCAATGGTTGCCATTCAACTTTTCGAATAGCACCGGGGCCTGGAGCGCGAAGTTTGGAGATGACTGGCTTCAAGCGATGGAGGACAAGCGTCTGAGGTTTACCTCTTTGGACAATGCCGCACCACTGCTCCCAGTGCAGCTGTCCATTCACGACCTTCTTGTCAAACGTGGCTTCATCGGCTTCCACGTCCTGCCATTTTCCACCTTGCCCAAATTTGATGTCCTTCTCCTTGTTCCTGACCCACCTTTCACGTAGCTGGCCTAATCTCTTCTCCATATCCTCAATGCTCTTATGGTTCACATGCAGGAGGCGATGGATGGTGGGGTGGGAAACACGGTTGAGCAGGAGCATCAGTAAACATGCCTGGGTGGCAAGCGGTGTAGAAGAAGAGCCCCAATGATCCACAAAAATGGGGTGAGCATGATGCGGGTTGATGTAGGTGTGGCATTTCTTGGCACTGCATCTATGCTTTAGTAAACCTCCAAGTTGTTGAAGGCCACCAAGGGTGCCACGGCAGCATCGCGGACAGACATGCCCTTCCCATTTATGAAGAAGTCCATCTTCACGAAGCATCTTCACCAAAGTAGATGGAGAGCTTTGCAAAATTTGTGCCAAGGAGCGCTTCCATTTGCAGCGGTCCATGCGAACTTCAGGAACTGCATCAGGGGATCGCACATACTTCACTTGCTTCCATGCCTTGGTCTTCATGCCCGCAGGCCGTTTCAATACAGCACGTAGCTTACCTTTCTTGGGCACGGGAAAGTTGTTGAACTTGGACATGGCAAGGCGCAATTTCGGAGCTAGGCGGAAACCAAACAGCTATAACGAGTGACAAAATTGAATCAGACACTGAATTTGAATGAGCAATTAGGTTTGGTATGGTGCTGGTGGACTTGGAGTGGAATGATTTGCAAGCGCTTGCAAGCATGAGGGTAGACAAACTCAGTTCCGTTGACAAAAGAAGCTGTG